AGCCATCCCCCTGTCTACTTACTGGTGTGCAGGTCAGAAAGCATGGAAGCAGAGTCTTAGGATGTTTTACAAATAACAAAGCACAACATGGAAAGCAGCTGACTGATAGTTTGTGTTTATGATTCTCTTCAATGGCCAGCTTAAGCATTGGGCACTCGTCACTCAGATTGACCCTCATGTTTAAGGAAGGCACAAACAGGGGAGAACTGTCCCTGTCTTCCATTGAGGCACAGGAACCTGCCAGATACAGACAGCCTCAGCCATAGAAAATGAGCAGTCATGTCCAAAACAAGCCATCCAGAGATGGGACTTCAGACTCTTAGAGGGAGCTGTGGGTCATGTCCAGGCCAGAGACCCTTCAGGATCCAGACAGTTCCTACAGCAACAGAAGCCACCGTCACCTCCACCAGAGTCTAGTCACAGCTACACTGACTGTTCATTCCTGATATTCCTCCAAGCAGAGCCTCCTCTGTCTAACTATAACTTCTGCCCCGGCTCACCTGCAGCCGAGGAAAGTGGCCTTTTGCCCATGATGGCAGGTGCTGCTACTGGAGCTGAGCACAGACACCAAGCTGAACTTCATCTTCACAGGGCTCGGAATGGGCAAGCACTCTTGCTTTACTGGACATGATTTGCATTTTCTATTTTATTAATTTCTGCATGATTTATTCAAATTTTGCAGAATAAGCATTATGATATTGTGACATAATAAATATATATTTGGTTCATCCCCAGTTACTAGCACAGAGCTCCTAAAATTCTTGGAATCTCTGAGTGATAAGGGTGCCAAGAGCATCTTTTATTCTAACATTTGTTCTTTGATACTGGTTCCTGCTACAGAGTTCCTAAATCCCTTTGAATTTCTTGAGTGTTAAACGTGTCTTTTGTCGTAATGATATGACTTTCTTGGTTAGATCCTTCTGGGTTTAGTTTGGGGCTGGTCACTGTGAAAACCAAGCCATGATTAGAAACTCAGAACTTTCAGCCCTGTCGCCATCCTCCAGTGAGGGAAGAGGGGCTGAAGGTTCAGTTAATAATCCATCATGCCCATGTGGTGAAGCCTTCATAAAAATACTTAAGGGGCAGGGAGGGTGGTGCACCCCAACTCCACAGACACAAAAGCTTCTGAGCTTCAGATCCTTCCAGATCCCTCTGTACCTTTCATCAGCTGTTCATCTGTGTCTTTGATTACATCCTTTATTATAAACCAGTAAACATAAGTGTCTGTGAGCTGTCACAAGACATCGCCAAACCTAAGGAGGGAGTCGTGGTAACCCTTGATTTGTAGTCAAGTTGGACATAAGGGTGGGTAACCTGGGGCCCACTATTTTCTATTAGTGTCTCAAGTGGGGAGGAGGGAGTCTTGTGGGACTGAGCCTTGTCCTGTGGGGTCTGCATAACTCCAGGAAGTTAGTTTTGTGATTGCATTGTAGAAAACACAGCTGGGGTTAGCAGTCTGTGAATGAATGGAAAATAGTGAGGTTTCCCATGTGTTTATTTATATAATTAGAAAAATAAACTTAAAATTATACCACTTACCTCCACTGGCCTTGAGGGAAATTAAAACCACAGTGGGCTACCACTGTACACCTCCCAGAATAGCTACATTTTAAAAGACTGAAAAAAACTAAGTTTAGGCAAGGATGTAGAACTGAAACTCTCTTACATTGCTGGTGAGAACATAAATTGCTACAACTACTTTGGCAAAGCAATGTGACCATATCGACTAACGGTGCACATATGCATATTCTGTGACCCAGCAATTCACTCCTGGGTATATACCTCGCAGAAGTGTACAAGTATGTTTTAAATGGTATAGCATAGAATTTTCACAGTAGTAGTATTCATCATACCCCCAAAGGGAAAGCTACACAATGTATATATCAAAAGAAGAATGGAAAAATAAAATTGCAGTTTTAAAAAATATAATGGAATACTATAAAGCAAAGAAAATAAACGTATTAGTTAGCTTCGACTGCCATAATAAAATACCATTGACTGGGTGGCTTAGACAACACAAATTTACTTTCTCACAGTTCTGGAGGCTAGAAGTCAAGATCAAGGCTCTGGCAGATTCAGTTTCTGGTGGGGCTCTCTTCTGGGCTTGCAGGAGGCACCTTCTTACTGTGTTATCACTTGGTCTTTCTTTGGTACCTGCATCTAGAGAGAGAACTAGAGGGAAAGGGAGAGGGAGCACAAGAGAGAAAGAGGCCCTCTGTGGAGGTGAGAGGATTGCCTGTGTGGAGGTTCAAGACCAGACTGGGCAACTTGGCAAGACCTTGGCTCTACAATAAATCAAAAATTAACTAGGCATGGTGGTTCACATCTGTAGTTCCAGCTACTTGGAAGGCTGAGGTGGAAGGATCACCTGAACCCAGCAGATTGAGGCTGTGGTGGCCATGAGTGTGCCACTGCACTCCAGCCTGGGCGACAGAGTGAGACTCCTACTCAAAAAAGCAAACAAACAACAAAATGTGTCCATAATTCCTTTTCTCAGTTAAAAAAATCCAAAAGAGCTATGAAGGAAAAAAATGTTTTCTCACAACCTAATAGGTACCAAACCTAGTGGACCTGAACTCATCTGCTGGTGAAATATCTTAATCATAGTCTTTATCCTGATTGGAATACATAATTATATATTATGTTCCAGAAATATTAACTTTTTGAATTACAGAGTCTTGGCCCAAACCCCTATGCAGTGTGATGGAATATCCCTTACCTTTCTAAAAACTGAGCAATTGTGATTTTTGTTAGACATATGGTCCAAAGGCTTTAGATCAAGGATTTTGGACCTATGTGTAGTAGAGCTTTTAAAGCTGAGAGCAACGCGAAACTTCCCATGCTTCACAAGAAAGGCCTTAAAAGGATGTGACTCCGGATCTCATATGGGAGGAGACAGGAAAGCACTAGGCTCAGAACCTTGAGCCAGGTTTCATCTATGACTCTATGGCTCACTAGGTACATGGCCCTGGGCAAATAATTTTGGTAAGCTTGGGGAAAAACTGGTCCACCTTTCAAGGTTGTTATCTCCTTGGATTTTCATATGAGAAATGCTAGCTAAGAAACTGATGCACAAAAACGGAATTATGTGACTATCAGGTCCCTGTTTTCCTTTCAAAATGATGTAGCTCATGATCTGCTTGAACTGATACCAAGTGTACATCTGCTCACCCTCAGCCCAGTACTCTTGAGACTATCTCAGTTAAAGTTCTCAGCAGGACACCTAAAGCCTCCATGCCCTGAAACCAGCCTTCACAATTCCCTCCTGTTGGCTATAAGGAGAGTCAAAGGCAAGAACATGGACCACTATTCTACCAAGTGTGAGGTAAGGGGGGTAAATTCTGGAAAGCAATGGGGTTGGTTTTTGTTTTTATATATTTAGGAAAAAAATTAATACTAGCAAGGCAACGAGGCTAGAGTAAAACTCGCATAATAGAATGGAAGATGGCACTAGCTTTAGGGGTAATGTGCATTTACAGCTATATAATAGTTTCCATGCTGACCAAGGAACTCTAATTTTGGATGTCTAGCCTTAGAGTCTAAGGAATGGTCTTAATTATGCTAAAGTTACAATCATTAAGGTATTCACTAAAGCACTGTTTACAATACAAAATTAGAAATGCTTGAAATACCCAATAAAAAGAAAGTGGTTCAATTGTTACATTTACTTGATGGAAAATGATGTGGCCATTATGCATAAAGTATATGAAGACCTTGTAAGATCCTTAAGACATAATGTTAAACTTAATAGTATAAATGACTACAATATTTTTTATTATATGAAAATATGCATAGAAAAAAACAGAAGGAAATATTCAATAATGCCAACGACAGATCAAGGTGTTGGGATTCTGGGTAGTTATTGTCCTCAAAATTCAATAATGTGCTTGTTAAAAAAATTAATGTTCTAAAAGAACCTGAATGCAACACTTGTTGGTCATAAGACAGATTGGGGCTCTAACTTGAGTTATTTTCACAAACCTGCAGTTGCTAGACAAGCAGTAGATCATCTGAGTTCTTAAGTATCAAACATGAGCCTCAGTTTCTTCCTTTGTAAATAGGGATGACACAGGCTCCTACTTATCACAGTGTTGCTTGGAAATCATAGGGAGAGAAATGTGTATGGATGCATTTTATGAACAGAGTGTTAGATAATGTTGGCGAATACTGCTCATGACAAATTAGAATCAAAGGAGCTTCTCTGCCCACAGTCCTTTTTTGGGGGGAATGTCTTCAAGGAAGTCCTGCCTGAGCATCTCATGTCCTACACAGGAAGAAGCCTTTATAGAAGACACGTTTGAGGGTATTTGATATCATAAGGGTCCAAACACACACAATTTAATAAAAAATTTTAGTGATGCCCTTTTTCAAAAACCAAAGATTATAAAAGACCCAATTCAATAAGCTGTGAAATGAATGCAATAACAGGAATTAAGTGCGTGTACCTGGGTGGAGTTTTTTTTTTGTTGTTGTTGTTGCTTGTTTTAAAATAAACCAAGTTACAAAACTGAACTCCTACAATAGAAAAGAAAGAGGGACTCTGCAAAATTAACTGTTTGGAAAGTGAAAAATATAGAGTGCCTCTTGTATGTATTGAGTTTTACCAGGTATTTTGAGTCTTATGAAGTAGTTGAAATCCTCTCCATCATCTAAGTTCTGATTAAAATAAATTTTTAGGGAAGTAACTGAAATGGGCAAGATTTGGCCCAAAGTAGAGGTCAGAAGAGTACTGATGACAAGGACAGAAGCCTGTCATGTGTCAACCTTGCTCTTACTTACCATCAGATGTCTCTTGCCCAGCACTAGCTCATCTTTTCAACGCTCTGGATTCCTCCTTCACGGAAATCCTCCATCAGAGTATATGTATTAAGACTCAAGTGAGACCGAACCTGTCTTGTATGAGATGTCTGAGGAAATATCCACGATTAACTGAAATATTCCAAATGCCAAAGAATGTGGTTCTGAACGATGAAACAAACAAAACAGGTCACACAAAGGTATATCAAAACAATGGGATTTTATTTTGATGGATTCTTTGGTGTCGGATAAGGTGTGTACTTTGTCTAAACCTTTCCCCACATTCAAGACATTTATAAGGTTTTTCTCCAGTGTGAGTTCTCTGGTGTTTAATGAGGGTTGCACTCTGACTGAAGTTTTTTCCACAGACAGAACATCCATATGGCTTCTCTCCAGTGTGGATTCTCTGATGTTTAAAGAGGTCAGAGCGCTGTTTGAAGCTCTTCTCACATTCTTCACATTTAAAGGGTCTCTCTCCTTTATGCAGTCTCTGATGTCTAAAAAGGTGGGAAATATGGCAAGTTTCTCCACATTCCTCACATTTATAATATTTTTCTCCACTGTGGGTTCTTTGATGCCGATTCAGATGTGAACTCTGTCTAAAACGTTCCCCACATTTCAGACAGGTATACGGCCTCTCACCTGTATGTGTCCTCTGGTGTTTACTCAGGGCAGCACTCTGACGGAAGTTTTTCCCACACTCTTGGCATGCATAGGGTTTCTCACCTGTGTGGATTCTCTGGTGTTTAAAGAGGTCAGAACGTTGTTTGAAACTTTTCTCACAGTTATCACATTTATAAGGTCTTTCTTCACGTAACTGCCTGGGGGTCTCAAAAAGGCCAGAACTATGAATATTTTCTCCATCAGCAATAGACTTGTGAGGTTTCACCACATGATGTGTCACCACATTTAAACCCTGTGTGCATTTGTTCCCACGCTCATCACCATCAATGGGCCTCTCTGCTTTTTGGATGTACTGATAAAGAATAAAGTTAGAAAATCTGGCATTCTTCCCAAACTCATTATTTTTAGAGTCTCCTCCTTCTGTGGAACTATTCTTACTGATATCTGAGATGTTGGTGAGTCCTTGCCCTTCAGGAGAATTTTCAAGTTTCAGTGATGAGAGGTTTCTGGATTGCTCTTCTATTCTGTTCTCTTGGGTACCACCACACTCGGAAAACAGGGGGGGCTTCCCCTGAAACACTCCTTGTAGCTGCCCCTGTGGTTCTGCTTCTTCTAAAATTTCTTGCTTTGGAATCAACTCGTTGTTCTCAATTCTGCTTTCCAAACCTGAAGCATTAAAATACAAATTGCTGTCATTTCATTCTGTGTAAGAGTGAAATAAGCAAGCATTACCCCCCCCAAAAAATCCTTTACATATTCTCCATTAAATCACTCCTGAAGTGAAATTATTTTAATTAACCTGTAGTTGTGCTCACATGGATCGACATAAACCCCATTTATTTCCTTCGACACTCACGCCTACACCCAGCAACCCGTCTCTTCTTCCCTGCCCTGCTCCACTGCTGGGTAAGTCACTGTATCTTGAAAGGCCAACTTGGAAGGGATATCAAGAAAGGCAGTACAGCCTTTATCACATGAATGAAGGATGGCTCAGCAAGAGAAACCCTAGTCACATGATAAGCTGGTGCCTCCAATGTCTGAAGGTAGGGTCTGGGTGGGAGATTAATCTAGGACAGGTTGAACGTCTACCGAGAAACAGTCAAGCCACCAGATGCCATCCCCAGTAAGGATTTTGGGGTTTACTCTCTGAGAAGACTGAAATCGATAAATCCTGGATTGGGACACTAAGTCATGGCTGAGAAAGAGGATGGGTACCACCCTAATGCCAGGGGAATCAAATGAAAACTGACACCAAATCAGTAGAATCTCAATGCACTTTCCTCTACTTAGGTCCCAAATTGTTAGCCCAAAGCTTCCATCCTCCAGGCAAAAGGGCAGGAACTTCTGTGTCTGTTCATAGGCTTTATTCACAACTGTATGCCCAGCATCTGACTTATTGTGGTCACTCCTTATATATTTGTTGAATGAATCTTTCTATGGTCAAACTTACTAGCCCAGGCCAAAACTCCTAGACACTGACACACAGAAATTTTCAAGTCAAGCAGCACCTAATGGCTGACTTCATAGTGAAGATCACTGGCTTACACGTCCTACCCACTACAGGGGATTGCTGGATAGAATTGTTTGGATGACTATTAAGTACAAATAAAGTAAAAGTTTATCAACTTTCCAGGGAAACTTCTCACACCAATGCTGGTGAAACACGAAACACATGAAACAAAATAAAATTTAATAACCTATAATTAATATTTTCAGATAATTAAGATACTACATACAGGAAACAAGGAGGTTATAAGCAAAGGACTGTTTAAAGCATAAGAAAAAGTTCATGAAAATATAAATGGTAATAAATATTTTAGCAAAAGGGTTGGGAAACAAAGTTAAGGAAATCTAAAAGTGAAACAAAAGCCAGGCGGGGTGGCTCATGCCTATAATCTCAGCACTTTGGGAGGATGAGTGGGAGGACTGCTTGACCATGGAGGTTAGAGACTAGCAACACAGTGACACCACCCTGTCTGTACAAAAAAAATTTTTTTTAAATTAGCTGGGTGTGGTGGTCCGCACCCATGGCCCCAGCTACTCAGGAGGCTGAGGCGGGATAATCACTTGAACCCAGGAGTTAGAGGCTGCAGTGAGCTATGATGGCACCACTGCACTCCAGCTTGGGCAAGAGTGCGATCCTGCTTCTTAAAAAAAAAAAAAAAAACGCGAAACAAAAGATAAACAAAAAATTGGAACAGGGGAGCTTAGAGGATCAGTTCATGAATTCCAACCAACTAAAATTCCAGAATAAGAACAGAAAAAGTTTATTATATTCACATGTCCTAAAGAGGGGAGGCCTGGCACGCCACAGACGGCCAAATGGGAAAGCACCAGCAGGGGACAGAAGGTACAACAGACAGGAGCAAGGGGAGGGTCTAAGCCATGACCTTTATTGGAGTTTCCCTCCAAAGGCAAGACAGGGCAAGGGGAACAGTTTACGATTGGATCGTTTGAATAATTTTTACGAGTTCTAAGCTACAGAGGTGGAGCCTAATTGCCTGCTACTGACCCTGGGATGATTCAAGTGAAGGAATATTACCTCTTGGGGTATATGGGATAGACAGAGGAGGCAGGGCTCCAGAACGGTTACTCTGCCGATCAAAGGCTTACATTAAGACTGAATGTCCTTTGTATCTCTAAGAATTAGCTAGCCATGGGAGGGGCAGCCAGAAAAAACTTAGTCAGATAGGTATTTAGGATTTCAAAACATCATAATATACAAAAAATAAAAAAAGTAATATACACACAAAGGATAAAATACCAAAATGGTATCATCTTTCTGAGGAGCTACATAGAAAAACTAGTTAGAAAATTCACTATCTTAAAATCATTTTAACCTAGAATAGTCCATCCAGCAACACTCTGATCCAAATGTGTGCGAGAAAGACATGTACATTTGCTGACGATTTAGCTCCCAAGCATATGTTCTCTGGAAGATACTGGAATACGTTCTCCACCACATCAAGGGGGTAAACCAAAGAAGAAAATGTCAAAAGAGCCAGTAAAGAGAAAAGAAATTCCCTGGGTGATAATGAAGGATGTCCTAGGACAACAGCTGTGTAACGGCCCAGGAAAGAAGTGGCCCATTTATACGAGGGCAGAGGAAGCTTTGGGAGGGATCTCTCCAAGGGTAAGAATAATACTGATAGCATATAATATTGAAACAATGTGTATTAATTAATGAGAAAGACTGATTTAACTATGAAAGAATTATTGACTACTAAATATGTACATGAAGATGAAGAAGAGAATTCTTCATCTTTCTCAAGAGGCAATCAAGAGATACTAACTGAAATTGGGGGTGGGGAAGACAGCAGAATAAGCATCTTATTTTGAAGTAGGAAACAGCTAAAAGATTTAAAAGTCATTGCCTCAGCAAAGCTGAAATCATGATTGAGAAGACTTCAAAAAATATAAACCATAAGTAAAAGTCTGAAAGATTTGACTATATCATAATTTTAAAACTCTGTATAACAAGATGCCATGGTGAAAAGATAAGCCACCTATATAACTAATAAAATAACAAAGGACTAGTATCAAAAATATAAAGAACTGCTACAAAGCAATGTCTAAAAAGATAATAGGATAAAGGAGGGGAGACAAAGGATACAAACAGGTAAGTAACAAGAAAGGAAGCCAGAATGCCCAAGAAAGATCTACAAACATGTCTGAACTAGCAGAAATCAGAGAGATGCAAGCGAAAACAGCAAAATACCATTCATTCATTAAACCACATAGTATTTACTGAGCACCTACAGTATGCCCAGGCACTCCAGGTGCTTAGAATATATTAATCAACAAAACAGACAAAAACCCCTCCTTCGTGATGTTTACATTCTAGGAGGAGAGCATGAACAATAAAGAAACAAGATGTAAATTATATAGGATGTAAGATGATGCTAAATGCTAAAGACAAAGCAGAGCACAGTGAGCGATCAGCCGCGTGAGAGGAGGAAGCAGTGTGGGCGGAGGAGGCTGTGACAGGTTCAGGTAACATTAAACAAAGCAGTCAGAGCAGGCCTAACTGAAAAAGAGCAACTTGAGCAAGGACCTGAAGCGTGTCAGGGAGTCTGCTTCATGGAGAGCTGAAAGAAGAATATTCCAGGCAGAGAGATCAAGCAGCGCAAAGACCAGGAGCTAGGATGCCTGGCATGTCCAGGAGCAGCAAGTCCATGTGGCTAGAGCGGAATGGACGAGGACAGCACAGGGGTGGGGTGAACACGGGGCAGGCCCAGCACTTCAGGCATCACAGGCTTGTGGCTTTCCCTTGTGGGAAACGGGAGCCACTGCGGGTTCTGAGCAGAACAGTGTCATGATCCAACAGCTGAAAAAGGACACACAGGTTACTGTGTGAGGTCATGCTCTCAGCTGATAACACCAAATGCTAACAAGAATGAGGAGAAAAAAATTCTCACACACCGCTAGCAGGTGTATACATTGGTCATGAGCAATGTATACACCTTTGGACAGCAAGATAAATATACAGTAGCCCTTCCTCATCTGCAGGGGATACACTCCCAGACCCCCAGTGGATACCTGAAACTGTGGATAGTACCAAACCCTATGTATATATTTTTCCTATTCATATATCCCTGATACAGTTTAACTTATAAATTAGGTACACTAAGAGATCAACAACAGTAACTAATAACGATATAAGATAATTATACAGCAATATACTGTAATAAAAGTCATGTGAATGTGGTCTCTCCCTCAAACTATCTTATTATACTGTACCATGGGTAACTGAAACTGCAGAAAATGAAATCACAAAGGGCGGACTACTGCATATCTCTAAGTATATTCTCTTTAGAAACTCCAATATATGAACAAATATACAAAAATAACCAAGAATATACAAGAATGTTCAGTGTAACTCTGTAATGGTGAAAAACAATATACCTAAATGCCCAATGACAGAACGAACAGATGAATTTTGGAGTATTCATACATAAAATAGGTAGGTGGTACCAGCACTGCATGTATCAAAATGGGTAAATCCCCAAAATGTAAGGTTGAGTGAAAAGAAACATACAGTAATGACATATAGTTCGTAGTTACATGTGTATGTAGGGAGAATATAAAATAAGCATGGGAATGATAAATACCATAGTCAGGATATTGGTTACCTCTGAAGAAGGTACATGGGGTTTTACCTACAGTTGTAACATATTTGGTATTATGGCAAAGTATTAAGATCCAATAAGCCTGGGTGGCAGGTACAGGGGTGCTTATTATCTTTCTTATACTCTTTCTGTATGTATGAAATGTTAAAAATGAACCAAAGTAAAAAGCAGAATCTAACAACACAGAGGGGTCCTGCCTGGGTTACAGAAGAGATCAAAGGCTCTCAGCCCAAGTCTGTGAATGGCAGAGAAACTCAGGGATGGTAGTGGACCCAGCCCTTCACATATCACACTACAAACCAGCAGAGTAACAGCACTCACTAGGCAGGACAGTGCTCTTGTAATCCTTCTGCACGCTCTCCCTGCTGAAGTCCCTCGGAGCTGGCTCCAGATGCTCCCGCTCCTCCTGGGATAGAGACACAGCCACGTCTTCCGATGTCATCATCCTCTGGAACAACACAAGACACCCACTCAGGACCAGCTGTCCCTGTCTCAGGATGAAGCCAGATTCCAGGGAGTGGAGGAGGAGGCACGAGAATCAAGTATAAACCATGACTGCTGAGTCTCCTATGGACCAGGGATTGTTACAGGGACAAAGATAGAGGCTTTCTCTTGTCATCCTGAAAAGCCTTTCTGTGGACTGTCGGCACTAGTTTAAAGTAGGTAGGAGCAAATATTTATTTGACATATCACTGTGACTTATCAAAATGGACACATGATACAATAGGTTAAAAAGAAACATACAACCAGAAAGTCCTGAGTTTGAAGGATGGCTGCTGAGGTGCCGTACTCATGTGTGAAACAGATACAAATATCTGAGGAAGATGAAGGTATCCACCCACAGTGGATGCTCAGTAAGATTGCCTTTCCTTTCTCTTGACCACTTCACAATAAAACAATTATCCAACAAGAACTTCTAAGATGGGTTATTCAAAGGTAAGCTGAACATTCTCAGAGGTTAAAGTCAATTCTTAGAAGTTGTTCTAAAACCGGTGAGGGAGATGTTTGTTCAGTTTCCATAAACTGATCCCAAGGCTCTCTTGCTCACTGTATTGTTTGTGTATGTATACATATATAAACTTTTTCTATATTGTCATGTTTTGACACCTTAGAAACCTTTCTGCCCTTCTCTGAGCCAGCCAATTCTTAGAGATCGCAAAGGGATCACTGAGCCTTTGATGCCAGCCTTTGCCATGCAAACTAACTATACCTGGGGTATACAGGCCAGAGCCCCACCTCCTGTCTCTGGCCTGAATGCCCCAGGAGGTAATACTCCTGTCTTAATTATCCCAGGGTCAGGTACGAGGCAATTAGGGACCACCCCTATGGCTTAGAGCACTGAAATTATTCAAACTAGCCAATCCTGAACTGTCCTCCCTGCCTTGCCTTCCTTGAGGACATTCCAGTAAAGGTTGTGGCTTGGGCTCTCCCCTTGCTCTTGTCCCTTCTGCCTCATCACTGCTTGTGCTTCCCCATGTGGCCTGGTGTGGTGTGGTATTATGTGCCTCCTGTCTCTAAGGACTTGTGAGTACAATAAACTGTTTTGTTGAGCCTCTCCTGTGTCTTCTTCTTTCAGTGGTTCCCTCTCCCCCTCAAGCAACAGGACCCATTGTTTACCATCTCTTGTTTACATCACATTGAAATCCACAGAAAAAGTAAACATTCACTACAATGTGTGAGACATGATACCAGGGACTGTAGAAAGTTTAAGTGCAAAATACCTTCCTGCATATCAGATGAGCGGGAATGAGGTGGCTGGCCTGGTCCATGAACTTCCAGTGACCTCAGCAACTTATACCTTTCCTTAGAATTTGGCTTCTTGGCACACCTCCCTTAGTTCTAGCTTAAGTTACCTCCTGTCCCTGCTGCTAGTAAGATGACTCTGACAGTAAGAAGAAGGTTGGAAACCAAGAGGCAACCCTGCCAGAATGCTGTTGCTTCTCAGACTTTTTCCAGCCAGGCAGTAGGGCGCTAGAGTTAAGTGCATGCATGGACTACGGAACCGGTTGTCTGGGTGTGAGTTTTATTTCTCTACTTACAAACCATGGGACCTTAGATAAGCTGAAAAACTCTTCTAGGTGATTCTGATACTTTACCTTTCCCTTCCTAGGCTCACATCCTTTTATTTTAGAAATGTTGGAATTTTCAGAAGAAATGGAAGGATGGACTGGATATCTGTCAGGATCAGGATATCCTCTACAAATATTCCTTCTATTCCCTCTTTTCCTAACAGAGTTTTTTTTTTTTTTTGAGACAGAGTCTTGCCATGTTACACAGGCTGGTCTCAAACTCCTGGACTCAAGGGATTCTCCCACCTTGGCTTCCCAAAGTTCTGGGATTACAGGTGTGAGTCACTGCACCCAGCCCAACAGGGCTTTTAACAACACTAACCAGCTATCAGTTTGCAATTACAGCTAAAAAAAAAGTTCTTGGAAATAAGATATAGTTGCAAATTAAGCAAAGAATCAAATGAGCAGGATGACATCCTACTTCAAGAGCTTAACCAGAGGCCTCATATCTTCACATAAAAGGACTGACCCAGAGCTTCAGGCAGGGATAAGACTGTGTCCACTCTAATGCAGACACAAACGCAGGATCAAACCCTCCAAAATTCTATGCCTTAACTCACAGTTCTCAACTGGGGTGATTTTGCACCCCAAGGAACACACCTGACAACTAGAGACATTTTTGGTTATCATAAGTGGTGATGATGGTGGTGGGGGCGGGGAGGGCAGATGCTGGGGATGCAACTGAGCATCCTACAGCACACAGGGCAGCCCCCATATCAAAGCAGCATCTGGCCCAAATTTCAATAATGCTGAGGCTGAGAACTCTGCCTTTGAACATGGCCAAAATATGAAATGGCCATTTATTTTTCCCTGGAAAATGTTCTAAGATTAACTCTTCACACTAAAACTGTGAACTGTATCTCACAGCACATTTACATTTTATTTCAAAACCAGTAATGAAGAGTCTTTCAGAATATTACTTTTCCAAGTACTCTTCTGAAGGGCCTCATATACTTCTGTATTTTAAATCTGCAAAACCAAAAAAACCTAGGACTATAAGATGGATGCAGGTATCCAGCAGTGGATCAGGAATCAAAAGCAGAGCTGCCCTCTGTTATTATCTGACTGAACCATATAATTTTAAAGAGGAGGAAATAGAGGCCCAGGAAGACTAGATCATGGTGGGAAGAGGTAAGATATGGTTACTGGAATCCATATCTCCTGACTCCTGGATCAGTACTTTTTCTGTTTTAAGTAGCTATTTGCCCTAAGGCTGTCTGCCTCATATTCATTTTGGAAAAGAAAGAGGAAGCCATCTCTAAGGAATTTTTCAGCTACAAGATTTTATTTGTCTTAAACTGCTACAAAAGACTATTTACTAATGCCAAATATTAATGACTTTTATACATACCACTGCTCATGTTCCTTCTTGTGCATAATTAAAAACATAATAAAAATCTAACTACGTTACAGCAATATAAAAAATCACTTATTTTCAACTTGGTCAATGGTTAAAAACCACATGAAGGAATCTTCAGAGAAATGCTTTGCAAAGACAGTCATGCATCACACGACATTTTGGTTAACAATGGACTGACTGTATATACAATGGTGGTCCCATAAGATTATCACGGAGCTGAAAGATTCCTACGATGGTGGTCCGTAAGATTATCATGAGCTGGGTGTGGTGGCTCATGTCTGTAATCCCAGCACTCTGGGAAGCGGGGGCAGGAGGACTGCCCAAGCCCAGGGGTTCGAGACCAGCTTGGGCAACATGGCAAGACCTCGTCTCTACAATAAATCAAAAAATTAGGGCTTTTTGGGTGTGGTGGCACACACAGAGTTCCAGCTACTTGGAAGGCTGAGGTGGATCACCTGAGCCCAGCAGGTCAAGGCTGCGGTGGCTGTGAGCACTCCAGCCTGGGCGAGAGTGAGACTCTGACTCAAAAAAAAAAAATTATTATGGAGCTGAAAAATTCCTATCACTTTGATAACGGTCATGTCGCAGTACAATGCACTACTTACAAGTTTGTGGTGATGCTGGGGTAAACACACCTACTGTGCTACCAAGGGTACCTAAATCTAGCACATAATTATGTACAGCACATACTTGATAATGATGATAAATGGCAATGTTACTGGTTTATGCATTTTCTATTCTACACTTTTCATTGTTATTTTGTAGTGTGTTTTTTTACAGGAAAAAAAAACCAAAAAAACCTGTAAAACAGCCTCAGGCAGGTCCTTCAGGAGGCATTCCAGAAGGCAGTGATATCGATGATCCTGACCCTGTGTAGGCCTAGTCTAGTGTGTTTGTGTCTTAGTTTTTTATTTTATTTTATTGTCAGGTGGGTAATGTGCTGACATCATAACAAGGTTTGAGGATGGCACATCTCACACACGAGTATGACTACCCTATCATTATACTTATGCACTACAGAGTATAGTGTCTTAGTTTGTAACAAAAAGGTTTACAAAGTTAAAAAAGAAAGCTTATAGAATAAGGATATAAAAAATATTTTTGTACAGCTGTACGGTGTATTTCTGTTTTCAGTTAAGTGTCATTTCAAAAGACAAAAGTTCAAAAAATTATAAAGTAAAAAAGAAAGTTAATTTACTATTAAGAAAGGAAAATACTTTTTATAAATTTAGTGTAGCCTAAGTGTATACACAGGTTTGCAGCCTAGGAGCCATAGGCTATATCTCACAGCCTAAGTGTGGCATAGGCTATACAATAAACCACCTAACAATGTATTTCTCAGACCGTATGCCCAACATTAAGCAGAGCACGGCTGTATTTGGAATTCTTAGTGCTCAGGACTGGAAAACCTAGGGCTGTGTGATAAAGTCAATCTGCTGCTTATCCCAACGACATTTCACTCTTCTCATCTTTAAACCAAACTTGGAGAACTCTGATCAGCTGTTTAATGGTGTTGACATCTATGCAATAAAATGCCCTTTTCCATTTTCTGTTTTTCATGTTGGAGTGATTTGGAGCTATGTGCAGAAGTATGAGGACATCAATGAAAAGCCTGAACTAACATACAGCAATGAACCAAGATCACACGTCTGCTAATGTCTTAATACCCTATCAATCAATATTTGATTATCTTAATTACTGCACAATACGTATTTTGGTGAATAAAATTACTTAGTTTTGGCTTTGTTTGGTCCAGAAGCAGTTAAATGGGATGTAATGACAAGAAACAAAAAGTACAGATTTAGGTACCCTGGCTTTCCCTCAGTGAAACGAGGCTTAAAGTTCAACAGTATTCTATGAATTACAATTACATTAAATCTGCTTTTGCTGAAAACTCATTCAGTGTTGCAATGCCAACTCTGCATTAAACACCGGGTAATGTTTGTAGACTGAAAACTAGCTGGGGGGGGGGGAGCTGGTAAATCCCAGCACTTTAGGAGGCCTAGGCAGAAGGCCAGGAGTTCGAGACTAGCCTGGGCAACATAGTGAGACCCTGTCTCTACAAAATACTACTAATAAGAAAAGTTAAAAGGGACAACCATTATCATGTGAGAGGAGGGGGTCGCCAAGCCGTTAAAAAGCAAAAAGGGGGCCAGGCACAATGGGTAACTCCTGTAATCCAGTATTTTGGGAGGCCGAGGCGGGAGGATTGAGCCCAGGATTTCGAGACCTGTCTCCATAAAAAACAAAAAAATTAGCCAGGCGTGGTGGTGTGCAGCTATAGTCCCAGCTGCTGGGGAGGCTGAGGTGGGAGAATGGCCTGAGCCCAGGAAGCAGAGGCTTCGGTGATCATGTCACTGCACTCTAGGCCGGGCGACAGTGAGACCCCAACTCAAAACAACAACACACCTGCAAAAAAGGGGTTCAAAGTGGCGGGGAATTGCTGTTCTAGCATACGTAGTTTAAGGACATGTGCCCATTTTCCATCCTAACAACTGTCTTTGCCAAGAAGTCTAGTAAGACAAGAGAGTCATCAGTAATCCGTGTTGGCTTTCTGCTGAGGTCTATGATTCAAGCCATTTGGATTTGTCACTGTTTCCTACGGAAAGAAAAGGAAGTTCATGCACATCCTAAAGTCCACACACAATGTAATAAAGGAAAGAAAGGCAGACACTCGGAGCACCCCGAACACGTCTATTCTCCATCCCCCCACCCCCAGGACAGGCCCTTCACTTCGCACCTGGGGCGAGTTCCCTTCGAGCGCTCTCTGCAGATCCCGCACCACGGCCACAGCCTCCTCCCCGCTCTCCGGGCCGTGCTCCCGCACCCAGACCTGGAGCTCCTGGGGCAAGATGGCCAGGAACTGCTCCAGCACCAGCAGCTCCAGGATCTGCTCCTTCGAGTGCAGCGCGGGCCTCAGCCACCCACGACAGAGTTCTCGGAGCCGGCTCAGCGCCTCTTCCGGCCCAGCCACCTCCTGGTAACGCATCTGCCTAAAGTGCAGTCGAGAAGTTTCGGGGTCCTGCCAGGCCCCGGGGGGGACGGACTCCCGGCCCCCAGATGAGTCTTCCTCCACTTTCACTGTCAAAAGTCCGTCGCGCCAGGACGGCTCGGCATCCCCGGGCCTCGCAGCCATCACCCAGGCTCCCGCGTCGGCGTCACTGCCGCGCCTCCCGGCGGTCAGGCTCGAACTCATCTTTCTCCGGCATGTGCTGACTCTCCGGGAGTCTTGCCTTCAGGTGAGAAGAGAGCAAGCCCAAGGAACTCATCAGCTCCCCCAGCCGAGCCCCTCTCCCACACTCCCCCCCTCCTCAGCTATTCGGTCTATAACCCTCAGTCCCCCAACAAGGGAAAAAGAAAAAGGAAAAAAAAAAAAAAAAAAAAAAAAAACTGGCCGGAAGTGCGTCACCAACTCCTTGCGGCTTCCCCTTCGGCATTTCCGGGGCCTCTCTAGGCGCTCCATGGAGACGCATCTCGGTGGTTTACCGTGCGGATGCCGCCGTCGCCGCCGGCGACCAGTCCTGGCGGCTCAGCTCTTGCAGCTCAAGAAGATAACGCGCTTCCGGTGTGGAGAAACTCCAAGGTTGAGAGGAAAAAAATGTTTTAAACCAAGTGTTGACATGTACATCGGATGTTAACGACTTTGAGCGTAACAAAGATAAGAAAATTCAGATTCAAAGACGTTGTGTCTTGCTCGATGTCTAGCCGCTGGTGACTTGATGAATGAGACCAACGTGCCCATTTCAAACTCCAAAACTCAGGGCTTTCCACTGCTACGACGTGCACTTATTGTAATTGGTTTTCTTCGCCTACAGCTACCTGGTTTGCTCAGTCGTTCAAGAAACATATCTGACCTCTTGCTGTGCTTCTGCTCCAGGAAACCAACAAGCTGAATTTTATGCAGTTAGGACATATGACAGCACCTCCCCAGTATGCTGCAGGGCACACATTGGGCCTTCAGCCATCAATTGCCTCCCCATATTTCCTGAGCATCCTCTGTTGTTGAGGCTATAGCAGAGGAATAGGATTGGCCCCTGCCCTCCCTTATGGTGCTTGGATAAAGTGGGGGCGGGGAGGTGGGGTAGTGGGGACAGCTAGGACTGCAGTGACAAAGTCCCACAAGCTGGATGGCTTAAACAACAGAAATTGTTCTGGAGGCTAGAAGTGTGAGATTAACATGTCCATAGGACTGGTCCCTTCTGACAATTGAGAGGAAGAATTTGTCCATGCCTCTCTCCTAGCTTCTGGTGGTTTGCTGGCAAGTTTTGGCATTCCTTGGCTTGTAGAAGCATCATCCTGATCCCTGCTTACATTTTCACGTGGCATTCTGCCTACATCCAAAGTCTATCTCCACATTTCTTCTTCTTCTTCTTTTTTTTTTTTTGAGTTGGAGTCTCACTCTGTTGCCCAGGCTGGAGTACGGTGGCACGCTGCTCACGGCCACCGCAGCCTCAACCTACTGGGCTCAGGCTATCCTTCTTCCTCATCTTTCCAAGTAGTTGGAACTCCAGGCACATGCCACCAACACCTGGCTAATTTTTTGATTTACTGTGGAGATGAGGTCTTGCCAAGTTGCTCAGGCTGGTCTCGAACCCATGGGCTCAGGTAATCCTCTCACCTTGGCCTCCCAAAGTGCTGGGATTATAGGAATGAGCCATTGGGCCTGGTCACATTTCTTCTTTTTATATAGCACCAGTCATAAGGGATTAGGGCCTACCCTAATTACCTCATCTTAACTTGTTAAAGACCCTATCTTCAAATAAGGTCACCTTCTGAGATACTGGCGGTTAGGACTTGAATAGATGAATATTTAGGGGAACATAACCCATAACTATATGTACTATATAGGTTTATTATTTAGATTGCTGAGAAGCCACTGGTTTCATGTGGGCATATTTGTTTATTTTTTAGAGATGGGGTCTCACTGTGTTGCCCAGGCTGGACTCAAACTCTTTGACTCAGGCAGTCCTCTTACCTCAGCCCCCCAAAATGCTGGGATTATAGCCATGAGCCACTACACCCAGCTAGCCACTGGTTTCTAAAGGGGCAAGTGGAAGGTGATATTCTAGGGAAAAATTAGAAAGTACTGAGAGTAGCCACTAATTCTCCCTGCACTAGCCCAAAGAATGCTCACAGGAAAACTCCCCAGACTTCTCCACCTTCAACCTTACAGAGACTTTGCTCATTCCTGTCTGGATAATATGATTTATAATTAAAAAAACCAACATGTATTGAGCACTTATTATGTATTAGCAACTCTGAAGGGCAATATCTCCATCTTCATAACAACCTTCTGAGCTAGTACCATTAATCAAGAACAAGAGAAAATAAGGAATCTCACCAAAGTTTACATAGCTAGTAAGAGGCAGAGCTGGTACTGGGATGGGACAGCAATACTCTCTATATATGCCAAATCTTTACCTTAGAAACAATTTATTTAATACAACTTTGAGTGCAGAAAACCCTGGGTTATAAGTTAGAAGACCTACACCTTGTTTTGCCAAAAGGTTGAGATATGTTTTTGGAGAAGTCATTTAAGGACTGTGATGCTTATTTTTCTAATATTTAAAACGGGTCAGGTGTGGGGGCTCATGCCTATAATCCCAGCACTTTGGGAGGTGAAAGCAAGAGGATTGCCTGAGCCCAGGGATTCAAGACCAGCTTAGGCAATGTGGGGAGACCTTGTCTCTACAATAAATAAAAAAACTAGCCAGGTGTGGTGGTGTGCCCCTGTAGTTCCAGCTGCTTGAAAGGCTGAGGCAGAAGGATCACCTGAGCCTGAAAGGTTGAGGCTGTGGTGGCCGTGATAATGTGACTGCAACCAGTCTGGGTGAGACTCCTACTCAAAAAAAAAAAAAAAAAAGAAAAAAAAGGATAAAACAGGTTTCATAATCTATTCAAAATATTATTGGAGATTTAACAGATCACACAAAAGACTTTTCAAAAGAAGTTTTTACTGTCTGTCTTGGTTGCTCCCAAATACTCAGTACCTAGAACGGTGTTGGGCACACAATGAGTACTCAATAATATTCTGCTGGTTTGGGGAACATGTATAAGATGAGATGTTATAGGAACAAGGTAGGAGAATGGTTGAAGATCATAGCTAGGAGGTAAAGATTCCCAAAACTGAACATCATCTATATGTTTGTGTGTCTAAGACCAATTCAGGCATGTTTACTTTAATAATTAGACGCAAGCTAGGTGTAGTGGCATGCACCTGTAGTCCCAGCTACTCAGGAAGCTAAGGTGGGAGGATCGCTTGAGCCCAGGAGGTCGACGCTACAGTGAGCCATGATCATGCCACTGTAGGCAACAGAGTGAGACCCTGACTCTAAATAAATAAATACATGAACAAACAAATAAAATAGACACAAAAATATCTTTTGTTGATTTAGTTTCATAATGCTACTCTATTTTCCAAGGCTTACGCATTGTTATACAGCTAAACATAAGTCTATAGGAAAAAGAAATAGAAAAGCAAAAAAGCTTAGACCTTGTGTACAGTAAAGAATTAACCTTGTCCAAAGAGAGGTTGGATCAGCTACTGGGAGGTAATCTCTAAGCCCTTGGAATATCCTGCTTCATAAAAGTATCTTTGTTGACACTGGGGTCTTGGAACAAGCCAGATAGTCTATATGGTAGGGAATCCTTGAGCCATGGAGTATCACCTTGACCTCTGGAGGAGTTGTAGACTAAGGTTAAGCTATGTGGGCAGTAAACCAGGCCTATGTGACTGAACTGTAATAAAAACTTTAGACACTAAGGCTTAGGTGAGCTTTCCTGGTCAGCAATACTATCATACATCATTGCTGGGAGATGTCAGCAGTGTCTGCATCACTCTGTGATTGGAACTCTCCTAGATCCTATTCAACATGCCTTTTCTCTTGGCTGATTTTATTATTATTATTTTTAATAACATAGAGATGAGGTCTCACTATCTTGCCCAGGCTGGTCTTGAACTCCTGGGCTCATGCAATCCTCCTGCCTCAGTTTCCCAAAGTGTTGAGATTATAGGCACAAGTACTGGCCTCTTGGCTGATTTTAATTGTATCCCTTTGCTGTAATAAACTGAAACGGTGAGTCTAACAGCTTTTGGTGAGTTCTGTGAGTCCTTCTAGCCAATTATTGAACCTGAGGGTGGTCTTGAGGAACCCTGAACTTCTGGTTGAGTCATAAGTGAGGGTGAACTTGGGTACTACGTAACTTCACAACATGTATGTTCTTCCTTTAAACTAGATTGGTAGAGCATTTCCTCACATATAGTATTGATTCTGTGAATTCCTGAAAATGTGAAAGATGAGGAAACACTCAGGCAAGATCGTAGGATACCCTAGTGAAAATGTCAAGATATGAACCTGAGCCATAGAGTATCACCTTGACCTCTGGAGGAGTTGTAGACTAAGGTCAAACAAATATATTGTTACCCTGAGTGCAAATGTTGTCACCTGGGGGTTGAGACATGAACACTTGTCAGTTATTGTAAAAGCAGTCTTGCATTGCTGGATATACCTGGGCAGAGAAGAGTAAAAATAAAGTGTCACTATACACCTCAACTTAAAATAGCCTTTCTAGATGTCCTTGTGCTATCTAAGACATTTATCTTGTCAGATCTAGGCATTTATCTAGTCAGATACAGACATCGATATAGACATAACTATATAGACACACACATCTGGAAAAAAGTATCTTACATTTTGATCCACCAATTCCAATTCTAAGAATTTATCCTGCAATTGTACTTGCACATGTCTAAAATGACATATATACAAGGATACTTATATAGTAGAGCATTGCTTGCTTTGGATAAAAACCAGAGTAATCTCATTCCCACCAGTAAGGATTAAATAAAGCAAAATATATTAGAATAATGCTATACTATTCAGATAGGAAAGTAAGAATGATAAAACTCTTTATGTATTGATACTCTCTATGTATTCACAGAGAACAATCTCTAAGATTCATTAAGTAAAAATTGTAAGGTGGAGAAAGAATGTAAACTGTGCTTTTTTTTTTTGAGTTGGAGTCTCACTCTGTCACCAAGGCTGGAGTGCCATCACAGGATCACCACTACTTCAGCCTCGACCTGCTGGGTTCAGGCGATCCTTCTGCCTCAGCCTTCCAAGTAGCTGGAACCACCATGCCCGGCTAATTTTTTGATTTATTATAGAGACAGGTCTCGCTAAGCTGCCCAGGCTGGTCTAGCACCCCTGGGCTCAGACAATTCTCTTGCCTCCACCTCCCAAAGTGCTGGGATTACAGGCGTGTGTCTCCGGCTGTGCTACCATTTATACACAAAACGTAACATTTGCTTAAATATTTATAGAATACATCTTGGTAAGCACATTAGAAACTAGTCATCTTCATTATTTCTAAGGAGAAAAATGGATGCAGAATGGGAATGGAAGACTTTGTATACCATTTTGAATTTTGACTCGTGCAAATGTATTACCTATTTAAGAAATACATGAAATTATTAAAACGGAAATGGCATTTGTAAATCATCCAAATGGAGGGAAGTATATTAGGAGAAAATGAATATCCACCTTAAACAACTTTTATATTCCTCAAACAACTATGCTAATTCAATAAGAGCAGCAAAATTAAGCCATAGCTGTAAAATTCGATACCAAGTCACTAAACACAAAATATAGACAAAACAAACAAACATTCATTCACCAGAGGTTTGGTCGTAGATAAGAAGCTACTTCAAATGCATGATTTTAGGCACCCTGAAAAGAGACCTTTACCCTCTAAATACCTGCTTAGCTGTTTGCAGACGCTGCGCGCATAAAATAGTAGCGATAGTAACTCGTCTTGCCTGCCCAACAGTTTTGTAAACAGCCAAGGGACTGGAAACCATAAGGCACCAAATGACATGAGAGATTATTAAGGATGGGATCCCCCTTGGCTAGGAAAACCCTGCGCAAACAGCGCTCCTCTCTTCGCAGGGCCGCCAGGGTCCTGGCCATTCTCGCCAGCCAGGAGGTGGACAGGATTCTCCTTCACCACTGCCTCCCCTCTGGGAGCCCGAGGACACGCCTCCCAGCCCTGCCGCAATCGGATAGGCCCACGAGATCGAGGCTGCGAAAAAAAAAAGAGCCACGGCCGTCTATTGGCCAGCCGGCGCGGCCCGCGCGGGGCTTTCTGGGAGATGTAGTCCTGGAAGTCGTTTGGTCCCTGCGACTCGCGAGTGTGACGTTGGAGACATGGGTCCTGTGAGCCGACTGCGGTGGTAAAGAGGTGGGTGTGTTTGGAGAGGGGCTGGGGGGAATGGCGAGCTTTCGAGCGAATAAACTAAGGGCCCCAAATGAAAGATAAGCGAGGGCTGTGGGCACGCTGAAAGGAACGGACCCACTTCGAATCGGGGCGCAGTGTTGGATGGGTGAGGTGCAAGCTCCATGGCCAATCGGACACTCACAACTGTAGCCCAACCCCGGAGGCCCCGCCCCCTGGCCCAACCCCGAGGAAAGGGGAGGAGTTCGGGCTGCTTAAACGGCTTTGTGTTGGGGTGGGGAAGAGGACGGCTCTGTTGGCCTTCCCCGCTCTAATGATGCGGAGCCTGCGGCTTCGGGTGGCCTGTGGACGGCCCGGTGGCTGGAGGTGGGCTGGGACCCCCGGCCCGCGCTCCATCTCCCCGCCGATTGGTCCGCACCCCGCTGCGAAGAGAGGACCTCCGGGATTCCTAGAGAGGCCTCGGAAGTGCTCTCGGGGGTGGGATTTAAGGGTTTAGCCCCTTTGGAGCAGGGAAAGCTTGGACTTGCTTACTTCCGGCGAGGAAGTGTTGGCTTCGGTTTTCTCTCCGTGTGTGAGATGAACCCCATCTTCCCAGCCTTGGCTCCGGGGAGCTTGTTCTTCCAGGAGAGCTCCCCGAGACCGAGGCTTTGAGGGGAGGGGGTGGGGCTTTGTGTCTGGACTGGGGTCCTGTCCCTAATCTTGATCGGGCCACAACCGCCGGTTCTCGTGGTCGCGGTCGATTCCGAGGAATCCAGGTCCAAATCTGTACCTATAACGCTGCTTCTTTTCGGGACAAATGAAGTCTCCCATTGGCCTGTCAAACTCTCGTAGCTTGAGGGACAGGCCCGGTTTTGACCATTGTAATGTTTTCACCCCTATTCTGACTTAAGTTTGGCTTATGGTGGAGAGAAGGACCGACTGCGTCTGGACTAGTTAATAAGTCTTGTCTCATTAAAAAAAAAAAAAGAAATGTACAGTTCTTCACCTCCAAAACTGTGTTTTAGGTTGGTCCTGATGTCATATTTTTTTATGGCTCTCCTTTACATTTTTTAAAAAAATGTAGAAGATATTCTCTGTTAGTGATTGTTTTACAGCTGCCTTGAAGTTCATATTTTTAAGGAAATTACTTTGTTGAGTGGTCATCTTTATTATAGATGACCTCTTTGCCATCATTCTTTGCTAATAATGATTCCCAATACATCAGTAGGTTGTACGCCACTGAAAGTGTCCTTCAGAAGATCTTAAAGAACAGAAAACAAATTGTGTGTAACACAGCCAGCCTCGCGAGACTTCCCTCTGAGTTGGAATGATAATGACAGAATCCCGGGAAGTTATAGACTTAGACCCTCCAGCTGAGACTTCACAGGAGCAAGAAGACCTTCTGATAGTGAAGGTGGAAGAAGAAGACTGCACCTGGATGCAGGAGTACAATCCACCAACGTTTGAGACTTTTTACCAGCGCTTCAGGCATTTCCAGTATCATGAGGCATCAGGACCCCGGGAGGCCCTCAGCCAGCTCAGGGTGCTCTGCTGTGAGTGGCTGAGGCCCGAGCTGCACACCAAGGAGCAGATCCTGGAACTGCTGGTGCTGGAGCAGTTCTTGACCATCCTGCCTGAAGAGTTCCAGGCCTGGGTGAGAGAGCATCACCCTGAAAGTGGAGAGGAGGCAGTGGCTGTGATAGAAAATATACAGCGAGAACTTGAGGAACGCAGACAACAGGTGAGTCAAAGAGGAGCGTAAGAGCAATGAGGAAGGAGAGGAAAGAGTCAAGAAGCTGCTGAGCAGGGGTGAGATTCTTAGCCCTCTGGTGCTTCATTCATATTCTTTTGTTCTCCCGGGATTAGGTACACTGTGGAGATTTTCTCCACTCCAGCAAAGAGAAGCAGTATCCAGTCTGTTAACTTCTAGAAGACAATCTACTCTTTTACATATTTAAAAACTTGCTGTATTTATTTTTGAATGACATGATAAAATCCAAAAAGTTATATAAGATTGTTTTTTGAAAAATAAGTTTTTCTTCCACCCTTAATTTCCCAACGTCCTAGTTCTTTCTGGAGGCAATCACTGTTATATGGTACTTAAATATTCTTACAGAGACATACTGTATTCTGGACACATAAGCTTATAACATGCTTTAGAAAAACATGAACTTTTAAAAAGTACATCTGCCTCTTTTTTCTCATATCTTGGCTTGTTCCATATCAGTGCAACTAGAGCTGCCTTACTCTTTGAAACTGCTTATATTAATTTCCAGTGAAGGAGTTTGAGTTGTGCCTTTTAAGTTGTCCCTTTGTTTTTTATTTTTGTTTTTTATTTTTTTGAGTCATTCTCACTCTGTTGCCCTGACTGGAGTGCAGTGGCACAATTCTGACTCACTGCAACCTCGACCTCCTGGACTCAGGTGATCCTTCTGCTTAATTCTCTGAGTAGCTGGGACTAGAGTTATTTGCTACCATGTCCAGTTAATCTTCTGGTTTTTTTTGTAGAGACAAAGTTCTGCTGTGTTGCCCAGGCTCGTCAAACTCCTGGGCTCAAGCAATCTTCCCGCCTCAGTCTCCCAAAGTTCTGGGACTACAGGTGTGCACAACCACGCATGACTAGTTATTTATTTCTTAAATTTTTTGTAGAGACAAGGTCTTGCTATGTTGCCCAGGTCTCAAACTCCTGGCCTCAAGCAGTCCTCTGGTCTTAGCCTCCCAAAGTGCTGGGATTATAGGTGTGTGCCACTGTGCCTGGCCAAAGTTGTTCCTTTAGATTGTTTCCAAATTTTTACTATAACAAACTATGCTGCAGTGAATCCCCATATAATTAATTGTAGAATGAATGCTTAGAACTCAGATTTTAAAAAAAATTTTTAATTTTCAAGATGTGGGGTACAATTCAGGGTTAGGTATACAAATGTTCATTATGCAGGTACCCTTGCTGATGAGGTGTGCCCCCCCTCCCTTGGCAGTTTCCCACTACTGCCAATCTGTTTCTTAAAGTATTATGATAATTGTTCAAGGTCTGCTTATGGAGAACATATGGTACTCTGTTCTTTGTTTCTGTGATAGATCATTGAGTATGATAGATTCTAAATCCATCCAAGTTGCTTCGAAGTCCATATGCTTGTCCTTTATGGCTACATAATGTTCCATTATGTAAATATACTACTTTTTTTATCCAGTCCAGTTTTGATGGGCAGCACGGTTGATTTCATGTTTTTGCTATTGTGAATAGTGCTGCAATAAACATGCGTGTGCAGGTATCTTTTTTGTAAAATGATTTGAGTTCCTCTGGGTATATTCCCAATAGGGGAATTGCTGGGTCATATAGAACTCATATTGTTGACTCATAAGTACATTTGTAGTTTTGATAGCTGTTGACAGATTATACCAATTTAGATTTTTACCAGCAATGTTTAGAGATTATACCAATTTAAACAGCAATGTTTAAATTTAAACAGCAATGTTTAGAGATTATACCAATTTAGATTTTTACCAGCAATGTTTGAAAAAATGTTTTTGGCCACAGTCTGATAGCTAATGTTATCAAACTTTGTGATTATTGCCAATGCAAAAGATGCAGTATTCCATTTCTGTGCAGTTTTCATTTTTAATATTTATTTATTTAGTAGAGACGAGGTCTCCCTATGTTGCCCAGGCTGGTCTCGAACTCCTGGGCTCAAGTGATCCTCTTGCCTTGTCTTCCCGAAGTGATGGGATTAGAGGCAGCAGCCACTGTGCCAGGCCTGTGCAATTGTCATTGGAATTCCTTCCTTCCTCCCTCCCTCCCTCCTTCTGTCTGTTGCCCAGGCTGGAATACAATGGCAGACTCGACCTGCTGGGCTCAGGCGATCCTTCTGCCTCAGCCTTCCAAGTAGCTGAAACTGCAGGTGTGTGCCACCATGCCCAACTAATTTTTTGATTTATTGTAGAGATGAGGTCTCAGCAAGTTACCCAGGCTGGTCTTGAACCCCTGGGCTCAGGCAGTCCTCTCACCTTTGCCTCCCAAAGTGCTGGGATTACAGGTTTGAGCCACTGTGCCTGGCTTAGAATTTTTTGTTTGACAAGAGTACATATTAAGGGCCATAGGTTTTATACTCTTTGTGTGTGTGTGTGTGTGTGTGTGAATTATCTGTTTATATTCCTTACCTGTATTTGTTACTTGTAAGAAACGATAAGCATTGTGTCTGTTAGATGAGTTGCAAGGGTTATTTTTCCAGTTTGATGTTTTTGTTTATTTATGAAGATTTTTGTTTTGCAGGTTTTTAAATTTTTATACAGTCAGTTTAACTATTTTATTTTATAGTTTCTGGGTTTCATTCCATACTTAAAAAGTTCTTCTTCACTATAATATTATAAAAAAATGTTTTTTAATAGTTTCCTTCTCTGCTGTTTTCTTATACTTTTAAATGATTGTTCTATCTGGAATTTTATGTTGGTATAGGGTGTCTGATGTGGTTTGCAACTTAATTTTTTCCCCATGCCTATCCTGTTGCCCTGGTAACTTCTATAGCAATCTTTTTTATTCTCTCTGATTAAAATGTTACCTGTGTCACATACCAAATTTCTACATGTATTTGGGTCCATTTCCAGTCTTTCTATTCTGTTTGATCTTATCTGTTCATGTAACACTTTCTCTCTCTCTCTCTCTCTCTCTTTTTTCTTTAAGACAGGGTCTTACCCTTTTACCTAGGCTAGAGTGTTCACTGCTAGAGTGTTCACTACAACTTTGAACTCCTGGGCTCAAGTGATCCTCTCACCTCAGCCTTCCAATGTCACATATCAAATTTCTATATGTATTTGGGTCCATTTCCAGTCTTTCTATTCTGTTTGATTGATCTTATCTGTTTATGTAACACTTTCTCTCTCTCTCTCGCTCTCTTTTTTTTTTCTTTAAGACAGGGTCTTACCCTTTTACCTAGGCTAGAGTGTTCACTGCTAGAGTGTTCACTACAGCTTTGAACTCCTGGGCTCAAGTGATCCTCTCACCTCAGCCTTCCAAGTGGGACTACAGGCGTGTACCACCACACCTAATTTTTTATTCTTTGTAGAAACGGGGATCTCACTATGTTGTCCGGGCTTGGCTTGAACTCCTGTCCTCAAGTGATCCTCCTGCCTTGGCCTCCCAAAGTGCTGGGATTCCAGGTGTGAGCTGCCATGTCTGGCCATGTATCACTGTTGTACTTATTTGAGCTTCACAAAATGTTTTAGTATCTGGCAGGGCTACTCTTACTTCTCCAAGTATTTTTTTTCCAGTATTTTCTCTCCTCCCTGCTAACTTTAGAGTTACTGATTTGGTTTCTACCATCCCCAAATTTTTTTTGATACTATCGTTGGGATTGCATTAACTTACATATTTAAGGAGGATCGATAGCTGTATGTTGCTGTCTTCTCACTCTTTCCTATACTCATTTATAACCCGACCTCCTACCTTCCTCTTGCTGCGAGATTCATGCTTTTCTAAGCTTCAATTTCTTGTTTTATAGCAAAGAAACAAAATCATGGGATCATGGGTTTACACGAGTTCAAAACTAGTTAGAGAATTTCTGTCATCATTTAGAGCCATTGCATTTAAGAATAAGGTACTAGTCTCATTGTTCTTATCCCTGATAAAGGATATTGCAGCATTGCAGAACTCAGGTCCTTGGGCTGGCTTAAGCTCACTCCAGCCTGCAGGTAGCAGCAGAGGGAGTGGCCACTGCCCCATGGCCAGACCCTGCAGCTGTCTTGCAAGATTGTTCCACACATGGGAATGTTTGAACCTTTCTATTGCTCAGTCAGGTTATAGAGTAAAGGCTTATGGTGACATCCATTTATTCCTTTAACCTAATTTGGAACACTAATGGACAAACTTTCCCTACTGTTTTACAGATATAAAGATCCAAAAGCATAATTTAAAACCCAGAGGATAATGAGCATTTGTATACTTAACCCTGAATTGTATCCCCCATCTTTAAAATAAAATTAAAAAAACAAACAAACCCAGAAAACCAAGGGATAGGCTGGATGCAGTGGCTCATGACTGTAATCCCAGGACTTTGGGAGGCTGAGGCAAAGGATTGCTTGAGCCTAGGAGATTGAGACCAGCCTGGGCAACATAGGAGACTGTGTCTCTACAAAAATAAAATTAGGCGTGGTGGTGTGTGCCTGTACTTAGCTAATAGGGAGGCTGAGATGGGAGAATCACCTGAGCCTAGGAAGTTGAGGCTGCAGTGAGCTGTAATCGTTTCACTATGCTCCGACCTGGGCAACAGAGTGAGACCCTGACTTAAAAAAAAAACCCAAGAACAACAACAACAACAACAACAACACACACACACACACACACACACACACACGATTTTTAAAATAGAGAATTTACAGCAGATATTACACATTTACCTCTGTCATTGTGACAGGCAGTCCATCTTTGGAAAGAACACAGACAAGTCACTTCTTGATGGCAGGAAAGATTTCAGGTCCCTAGAGAAGATTTTCCTGAGGGCCTCACTTTGTTTGCCTTTCCCCTTCCCTTCCTTCTGGTAGCCCCACGTTGTTCCTCGACTTTATCTCCAAGCTATTTTGTTTCTGGCAAGTGTTTTCTCATGTTCTAACTTTAATCCTTCTTAGTTCCTTTGTCCTCATCTCAGGGGACCTCAAGGGTTGCTTTGGTTCTTTGATGCCTGACTGCCCTTTGACATACTTGGAATCATCTTAACTCTTGTTCTGAGCAAGGACACACAAACTTCCACTGAGTGGCATTTGCCATAACTATTTTGCAGCTGCCTCTTAATGCATCAAATTTTACCCATATTAGGACAGTTAACATTTAAAGTGCTTTGAAACCTAAGGGAAGGGAAGGGAGACAACAACATGATTGTTTCCAGCCTCCAACTTTGAGCCTGTGAGTGTCCTTTGCAATGAGATGAGTTTTCTGGAGACGGCAGACTGTTGGATTGTGCTTCTTTGTCCAGTTGGCCACTCTGTGTTTCTTCAGTGGCACATTTAGTCCATTCACATCTTAGGAAGTTGCTTTATTACTTTTGTATTTATATATGTGTGCATTTTTATTTTTTGTGAGTGCTCTATATGCTCTGTTAACTCTGCTTGCCTGTACTTTTGTGATGGGTATCACCTTTTTTTTTTTTTTCTTTTTCTGTGATCCAGATGCTTGGATGTCTGGGAATGATTTTGGTCTTCCATCACTGATAAAGCTTAGCTTGATAGGGTTGGAAATTTCTGGCTGGAATTGCTTATCTTTAAGAATGTTAAAAGTTGGACTCCAGTCCCTTCTGGCTTGTGGTGTTTCTGCAGATAAGTCTGGAACAGTTCTGATAGGTCTTCCCTTGTAGGTAGTTTGACCTATCTCTCTCACTGCCTTTAGGATTTTTTCTTTCATGCTTGTTTTGTAGAGGCTGATTACTATATGCATTGGGGATGGTCTTTTCATATGATACTTTGCATGGGTTCTCTGAATCTCTTGTTCTTGGATTGTCACCTCTCTGGCAAGATGTGGGGAGTTTTTTTGAATGACCTCATGTAATGTTTGTTCCATGGTGTTTTCCCTTTCTGCTTCAGGGATACCAATCAGGTGTAGATTTGGCTTCTTAAGTCCCCCGTCTCTTGCAGGTTTTGCTCCTTATTTTTGAGCTTTTTTTCCCTATTTTTTGACAGACTAGGTTAATTCCATATCTTGGTCTTCAAGCTCTGAGAGTCTTCCCTCTGCCCGGTTGATTCTGCTTCTTATGCTTGTTACTATGTTCTTAATTTTCAGGATGAAATTTTTCATTCATTATTTCTGAGTGGCCTTTTTTTTTTTTTTTTTTTTTGAAATTGACCTAATCCGTTTTTACTTCCTATACAGCTTCAGTGAGTTTTGCTTCTAGTTTCTCTTGGTCCCTGTTCATTTTGCCATCCAGTCTCTGATTTATTGATTGATTGATTGATTGAGTTGGAGTCTCACTCTGTCATCCAGGCTGGAGTACAGTGGCATGCTCATGGCCACTGCAGCCTCGACCTGCGGGGCTCAGGTGATCCTTCTGCCTCAGCCTTCCAAGTAGCTGGAACTACATGTGTGTGCTGCCACGCTCAGCTTATTTTTTGATTTATTGTAGAGATGAGTTCTCATCAAGCTGTTCAGGCTGGTCTCAAACCCCTAAGCTCAGGCAGTCCTCTCACCTTGACCTCCCAAGGTGCTGGGATTACAGGTTTGAGCCACTGCGCCTGGCCCAATCTCTGATTTCTGTGGCTGTTATCCAGGCAGGTCATTCTGGGGTGTTTCTGTTGTTTGTGCCCTCATAGCTGCTTTTTTGGGCATTGTCTCTTTAGGACTCTGAGGGCTGCCTGTGTTTTTTTGTTGATATTTTACCTCATTTGTGACAGGCCTCTCTATAGTTTCTCTTTTGGTTTGATGATGCGATGCTGTTCAGGTACCCTCTGTTTTAAGGGACTTTTTGTTGTTCAGTATGTCACTCAGTGAGTGAGAAGGGCATTCACATCTGCTCCTTGCTCTACCTTGTGGCAGGTTTCTGTCACTGCAGAATTTCTCTCTCACTGCTAAGCTAGTTAGACTGGCTTTTAGCCCCCACAGCTAGCACTCTGCAGGGGGATGGGTCTCCTATCTGCATTCTGCAGAGGACAGCCTAGGAACCTTTCCACTGAGAGAGCCCTTGGGTGTCTTTTGTATTGCTCTCTTCCTGTTCAAGTCTGCACTCTGCTTTTGGAATAAAGTGAGCTCTCTGTCATGGAGATGGGGGTGGGCTTTGCCCTGCCAGGACACAGAGCTTGGAGGGGGTTCTTCCTGATCTGGCTGGGGAGATGGCCACCAACTGCTGGTGCAGATTAGCTGGGTTCACTCTGCAGATGGGCACTCCCTGCCTATGAGCCACCAGCCTAGCGGAAGCCGTCCTCACAGGAGCTGACCCAGCGCAAATCTTTCTCCTGTTCCACTTTTGCGGCAGTTGCCTGCTGCTATGCCGTACCCAGGACTTCTCTGGCATGGGACGACCGGTGCACAGCTGGGAGGGGGTGAACTGTTCCAAAGTATCTTTGCCTCACTTAACCACTTTTGTCTTCTGGGCAAGGCTTCAGTTCTTGTGCCATCCTGGCCCACAATAGAGAATTGGGCGCTCAGATTCCCCTGTCCGCTGTCGTTTCTGGTTTCTGTATGTTCAAAGAGAACTTTACTGGGTGCAGTGTGTTTCACCTGCCCCAAAGTGTTTGAGGTGTTTCTGTCTACCAGCATCGCGGTCCCTATTCTTTGCCTTGCTCAGCAGGAGAGGTATTGGTCTGCTGCTCCATGGTGGCCATCTTGGAATTCCTCCTTGAAGTTGTTTTCTAATGTTCTCTGTGCCTGGGTCACTTTTACTTGTCTGTAAAATTATAGTTTTTAATTATGTATTTATTTATGTGTTGATATATTTAATGAAAGTCTTCAACTAGAAGTCAATCATGTTTATTACACTATATTATCAGTGCCTGGCTCATTGTAGACTGACATTAAATGCTTGGCAAGGGAATGAATGAAATTCCATTGTGACTAGTGGATTATTTCATGGACTGTGTAACTGTGCTGATTATGGTTGTGGTTGTTAGATTGTCGCGTGTCCTGATGGGCTTCCTCAGAAGATGGTACCCCCTGGAGCAGCAGTGCAGGAATCCTTCAGTCACCAGCCTCCATCCGTGGACACCCAACCTGAGCAAGAGTCACAGAAGCCTCATCTCCTGGATGAAAATGGTGAGGTTCGGGAATTCAGTAGGACACACGTGGCTAGAGAGTGGTCACCCTGGCCATGTGGCAGGTGCCATCTGCAAGAGACATACTGTAAGCTGGGCAGCCTCTCGGCAACCTACAGGATCTGAAGGTTGGGAAGAGCTAGGAACCTGGAGCTGAGTCCATGATGTTGATAGAAACAGTCCCTGTCAGCTGATAGAAATGGCTAGAACTGTACCACAGTTTAATTTTAAAGCTGTAATGCAGATGATGACAGCTCCAAGTATGGGACTGTTAAGAGATCTAGAAACATTTTTTACAAAAGTGTCACAATCATCTTGCAACAGTTTTTCACCCCTCTCTCATAAATTTTGTTGCTTTAATGCTTATATAAAAAAGGTCTCCAGTTCCTAATTGCATTCATTTCTGCATGCTCATTCACCTTGAAATCTTATTTGAAATAGTTTTTCTTTTTTAAAAGAAAGCAGGATTTATTGAGAGGACAGAGAAGCTCCTGCGGTGGGAGGGGATCTGAGGGGTGCCCTGAAATAGTTTTTCACAATGACCTTTAGAACATCTGTTCTGTTCCCCTCCCTTCCCCTCTCAATCCTATTAACCTTCCTAAGATATATTAAGGAAGAAAAATGAACAGCTGAGTATCATATTATGATTATATATTCACAAGTCCGTAAACCCTAATCTGAAACCTTTGGTGTCAGATATATTTTAGAATTCAGAATTTTGTAGATTTAGTGAGGCGATATGATTTATTTACTCATATTACACTAGTAGCAGGATTTGGGTTAGCACCCATAATCACACACATTAATATTTCTGCAGGTCGGGCTTAGTGGCTCAGCCTGTAATCCCAGCACTTTGGGAGACCAAGGCGAGTGGGATTGCCTGAGCCCATGGGTTCGAGACCAGCCTGGGCAACTTGACAAAACCTGGTCTCTACAATAAATCAAAAATTATTCAGGCATGGTAGTGTGCAGCTGTAGTTCCAGCTACTTGGAAGGTCAAGGTGGAAAGATTGCCAGAGCCCAGCAGGTCAATGCTGGGGTGGCTATGAGTGTGCCATTGCACTCCAGCCTGGGCCACAGAGTGAGACTCCAAATAAAAAAATAAAAATAAATTCTGCTGTGAAATGTATGCTTGTTTACACTAAGTGGATTAAATAAAGACTTTAAATAGCTTCGCATCAGTTCATGTCAGGTTTTGCTGTCAAATTAGTTCATTGCCTAGCTTAATGGGGGAAAAAAACTTGGTATTTAGAGCTTTTGGGTTTCAGAATTGTCTGTTTTTGAACTTTCTTCAAGGCTCTCTTCAGTGGTCAGGTCTTTCCCTTGACATGCCCCACGGTCCTAATGTTTTCCAACTTTTCACTTTGGTAAAAATAACAGCAGCAGCAGCAGCTATGAATGAACATAGTGGGTGCTATGTGCCAAACCGTTCTTAGTATTTTCCTTTTGTGACCTAATTTAACCCTTAATGTACCAGGAAAAATAGTTCTTACTGTTTACCACGTGAGGCCAGTGGATCCTTTTTATTATTTTGTATTTTTAAGTCATTTAATCAATAATTTACAGAAGAATCAAAGGATAGTGAAAAACTGCTTTTTAAGAAATGTTAATATATCAGGTACATTTTGACTTGCGAACGTCATAAAAGATGAAAATTAGTCACATAGTACTGTCTCTTTAGCAAAATGGGATGGTCCAGGATCTTGTTGTGCAATACCATGTGAAGGCCATTCTTGTGAATGGCTCACTGGATGAGAATGCCATAATTCCTTTTTGAACTTAGAAATATATTGACCATCATTGATTCTTAAGTTTGATAAAATTTATTTAGGATGTTATCATCTGAAGATTCATTCTAACATCTCCCTTATACTTTCAGTTTCATTATTATCATTATTTTATTATTATTTTTTGAGTCGAGGTCTCATTCTGTCACCCAGGCTGGAGTACAGTGGCACAATCATGGCTCACCATAGCCTTGACCTCCTTGGCTCAGGCTATCGTCCCACCTCAGCCTCCTAGGTAGCTGGGACTATAGGCACACACCACCATGCTGGCTACTTTTTTTATTTTTTGTAGAGAAAAGGTCTCATTATATTGCCTGCTGGTCTCAAACTCCTGGGCTCAAGTGATCCTCCCGCCACCTAAAGTGCTGGGATTATGGGCATGAGCCACTGTGCCTGGCCATCATTATCATTATCATTAGAGAGTGCTGCTATCTATCTTTCAATGTCATAGATTAGGTAGTAATAGTCAGTGTCATCCTCTGCAGATTTTCTTCTCTTCACCCAAATGGGCGGCAATTGAAAAATTTGGAATTCTCAACTATGTTCAGTGAAAGCTAAACACAGGTGTCCACAGTCTTCTCTTCTACCTTCTCAAATAATGTAGTGTTTTAGAATAGTGAAGAATGATGATTTATTTTACTATTTCATGATCCTAAATATTTCCTTTATGCTCCCCTTCTTATTATTTTAGTCTTTTGTGGCATTTTGAGGAATAATTAATAAATAATGATTGGTAATCGTGAAATAATTCTTAGGATGAAGAAATACAAGAATGTTTCAAGATATAAGAAAAACAAGATCACACAGAAACTGTATCTCAGATTTGTAGAAGTATTCAATGGATTCATATGAAAATTACAAGATATAATAAGTTTTATTCTATTTATAAAATAATTTTTTTTTGATCTTCAGAAGACTCTAATGATAATAAAAGCTGTATAATACTACTCTTAAAAATATTTGAAACTGCTTAGAAAAGAAAATAAGAAACTAAGATTGTATCCAGCATTCTTTGTTGGTATACCAACAGTTAATCCTTACAGTAATTCAGAATAGGTTTTATTGTTATCCTGGTATTAAATGAGGTTTGTTCAAGGTCACAAAGCCATGAAGTAACAGAGCAGGGGTTTTAACCCAGGCGTTCTGAATCTAAATTAGTACTTCTACCTGATTCTGAGCCACCTCACCTTTGCTTTCCCACCAAGTTCTCCCACAGACTTCCATCCTCCTTGGATCACTTATGTTTCTTCTACTTTCAGAGTCCCATTGGATCATGCTCTCTTTTTTTTCTGTTTCTAGGTGCTTCTTGTCTTCTCTGCCCTGTTAACCAAACCCCTTTGCCAAGTCCTATTTTGATTCTTTAGCTGCTTCTGGTTTCAGATCCCTTCTCTGTTTTTGACTCTCTTCTCTAACCATTATCCTTTCCTTTTTGTGTCATCGTCCCTTATTTCTTAAGTCATTGGGAATCAGCAAGTCACATAGGAACATAGATTTCCATGATTGAGGAAACCATAGCAAGGTCTAAACTTGGGTTAAAGGTTAATCCTGGCTGGGCACAGTGGCTCAGCCTATAATCCCAGCACTTTGGGAGGCTGAAGAGAGAGGATTGCCTGAGCTCGGGGGGTTTGAGACCAGCCTGGGCAACTTGGTGAGACCTGGGCTTAGGCGATCCTTCTGCCTCAGGTGATTTTATTGTAGAGACAATAAAATCACCAAAAAATCACCAACAAAATTAACCAGGTATGGTGGTGTGCATCTATAGTTTCAGCTACTTGGAAGGCTGAGGCGGAAGGATCGCCTAAGACCAGAAGGTCGAGGTTGTGGTGGCGGTGAGTGTGCCCCATTGTACTCCAGCCAGAGTGACAGAGTGAGACTCCAACTCAAAAAAATAAAAAATTAAAGGTTAACCCTAGGTAGGTCTGTGCAAGCCATTGTACACATGGAGAGTGAGATTCAGATATGCCATGAATCTTAACCAAAGAACAAGAGAGGTGACAGCAGAGGGTCAGATGATCCCAGCTTCCAGAGATGAGACCCTCCAGGCATTGCATGTGCATTTCCCATTGCAGGGGAAGCACCCATCTCCCTCACCCCCTCTCTACTGCCCAGAGTCACTGAGGAAAGGCTTTTCTGTTGCTTCCACCTTCCCCATCTCCACTCTGTGGGTGCTCCTGCCTCTGTGTTCCAGCAGATACTTGGGTGAACTTCAGCAACAGTACTCTCCACACTGTGTTGTAGTAAGGCTTACATGTTTGCCCTTCCCATTAGACAGTAGTTTTCGAAGGCAAGAAGTGTTTTGTTTGCCTATTCCTATAACATACAGAGTAGGCTCAACACACACTTATTTTCCCCAGTAGATATTTATTTATTTTACTTTTTTATTTTAAAGATGTCAGGGTTAGGTATGCAGATGTTCATTATGCAGGTACCCTTGTAAATGAGGTGTGTCCCCCACCCCCCGGCAGTTTCCCGCTACTGCCAATCCCACTCCCAAACACACACTTTTTATTTTTATTTCAGTAGCTTTGGGGGGGTACAGATAATTTTTGGTTCCATGGTTGCATTGTATAGTGGTAAGGAAGTCTGGGCTTTAAGTGCATACCTCCCCACCCTGGCACATTGTACCTGATAAGTGATTTTTTTGGTTTCTCCACCCCTCCCCCCACTTCTGAGTCTCCAATGTCCATTATATCATTCTTTCTGCCTCTGCAGACCCTTAGTTTAGCTCCCACTTGCAAGTGAGAACATGGTGTTTGGTTTTCTGCTCTTGAGTTAGTTTATTCAGGGTAATGTTCTTCAATTCCATCCAAGTTGCTGCAAAAGACATTATTTCATTCTTTTCGATAGCTGAAGAAGAGTATTCCACAGTTTCATGATCCACTGATCAGTGAATGGGCATTTAGGTTTATTCTATATCTTAGCAATTGTGAATTGTTATTACACACTTCTTGACTGAATAGAAGCTAACTGTGGAAATTCTTGAAGGATTTCTGAGACCTTGCTAATCCAAGTGTGGTCCAAGGAGCAACAGCACTGGCACTCTGGGAGCTTGTTAGAAGTATAACAGCATATCAGACCTCACCCCGTACCTCCTGAGTCAGAATCTGCATGTACCAAAGTCCCTAGGTGATGTGTTTGAACATTAAAATTCTAGAAGCCCTGGGCTATAAGGAATGCTTTAGCCCCATGGAAGATGTGGGACTTTGGTTGTTCTTTGGGATGATAGATTTGACCTTCCTGGCAGAGCAGGAGGCATTCTTTATTGGGGATTGGCAACAGTGATTAGCCTGACCAAAGTAGAGAGTCTGGTTTTTTGGAGGAAGGTGGAATAATAGGGTAAGTGTGGAAGGATCTAGAAATTAGAGGATCTTGAGAGCCAGGCAGAAGAATTTTGCCTTAGTGCACCAGGGGTCATAGTAGATTCCTAAGCAAAAAAGGAACATGATGGCAGCAAGAATCAGGCAAAATATTCTCACTTAAACCTCTTTTTCTCCTCCCTCAGCCCTTCCTGTTCTCCAAGTTCCTTCCCTTCCCCTGAAGGACAGCCAGGAGCTGACAACTTCACTTCTCTCAACTGGGTCCCAGGTGAGCTGGCGCCCCTTTGCCCTTAGTGAGGACTCACCTGAACCTTTATCAGGAGTTTGTTTCCTTAACCAGTTACCAGGCCCACCTTGAGTTGGTACCTTCATTCTCTTGTGTCTTTTTCCCATGTGCCCAGTACTTCCTTATCCTCTTTGAGACACAGCCCTTTCCCTGTTTCCTTCCTTAATATTCCCAGTTCTTTCCCTCACTCCAAATTTGAACATAGGGAATAGGAATTTAGTGGAGATCTCCTGTTTCAGAAGTTGGTGAAAATTGAAGAGGTGGCTGATGTGGCTGTATCCTTCATCCTGGAGGAGTGGGGACATTTGGACCAGTCCCAGAAGTCCCTTTATAGGGATGACAGGAAGGAGAATTATGGGAGTATTACTTCCATGGGTAAGAATTATTTCATCTGCATTGATTAGGAGATCTTTTTTGTCTTTTTAAAAATTAGGACATCTTTATTTTGTTATCTTATAAAGAAACATATCTAGCACATCCTATAAAAGCATCTATATTTTAATTGCCATTACTTTGCTTACTTTTTTGTGAAAGAATAAATCAACCTTCTCTTTTTCTTATTCAGCTTATTCTGATTATTTTCATGTTAATAAGGGTATGATTCAACATTGATGGTACTTAGGGGGATTAGTTTTTGCCATCCAGCAAATACTAACTTTTTACTGCTTTAAAATAAAAGATGAGCTTATAACAGGTTTGGGTTTTAACAAATGTTTGGTAGTTATTGTATTCTTTAATAAAGTAGATGGTTCTTAACAGAATAATTCTAATTCATGAAAACATCTCAGACTATGCTGAATAACTACGTATTATAGTTATTACAATATCTCAGTAACATTGATTCTTTTTTAAATTTCTCCTAATGCATGGATGGCTAGTTGTCCACTCCATTACCATTCTTAGATTATTTATACTTATTTTATGATGTTTGCCTTGGCACCTACATTTACATATCATACTACTTCTTGAATTTTGTGGCCCTGTTTCTGACTAAGTTTTCCTGAAAGCTAATGTTCAACTCTGCTATCTGGAGCAATTGTAAAAATCTGAAAAATCTTAGTTTCTTTTTAACAAATTCTTTTAGGAGAACCACTGTATATCAGGCACTCTGGTGGACTTCAGATACAATACATACACAATGCCAAATTTCTCTTAAAAAGCATTAAAAAGCTAGTTTACATTGCCTAAGTTCATGCACAGGCTTTTAATTAAAGGTATCGAGGTGACTTCTACTTTTTAAAATTTGCCATTTCTTATTACTGTTGCTATTTATTCCCTTTGCTTGCTATATTTGTTGTTGTTATTATTATTATTATTATTATTTTGAGTTGGAGTCACACTCTGTCGCCCAGGCTGGAGTGCTGTGTCACACTCAAGGCCACCTCAGCGTTGACCTGCTGGGCTGTGGCGATCCTTCCGCCTCAGCCTTCCAAGCAGCCGAACTACAGGTGCGCGCTACCATGCCCAGCTAAGTTTTGATTTATTGTAGAGACGAGGTCTCGCCAGGTTGCCTGGACTGGTCTCAAACTTGGGGGCTCAGGCAGTCCACTCGCCTCGGCCTCGCAAAATGCAAGGATTATAGGCTGAGCCACCGAGTTTGGCCTGCTTGCTATATTTGTTTTTTTTGTTTTTGAGTTGGAGTCTCACTCTGTCGCCCAGATTGGAGTGCAGTGGCCGCTCCCGGTCACCGCAGCCTCGCCCTGCAGGGCTCTGGCAATCCTTCCGCCTCAGCCTTCCAGGTAGCCGGAATTACAAGCGTGTGCTACCACGCCTGGCTAATTTTTTTGATTTATTATACAGATGAGATCTCACCAAGTTGGCCAGGCGGGTCTCGAACCCGCGAGCTCAGGCAATCCACTCACTTTGGCCTCCCAAAGCACAGGATTACAGGCTGAGCCACCGAGCCCGGCTGCTTGCTATATTTGTAATGCCTCTGTTCATTAATCCATTGGAATCTTAGTGGTAGTCTTTTATCCCAATGAATTACTTATGCAAATATTTTTTCATTCTCTTCTTAAATATTTTTTAAAATATTTTTTTGAGTTGGGGTCTCACTGTGTCACTCAGGCTGGTGTGCAGTGGCACAATCACAGCTCACTGCAGCCTCAATCCTGGACCCAAGTGATCCTTCTGCCCCAGCTTCCTGAGTAGCTGGAACTACAAGCACACATAACCATGCCCAGCTAATTTTTTTTTCCATTTATTTTTGTAGGGAAGTGGTCTCGCTATATTGCCCAGGCTGGTCTCAAACTCTGGGGCTCAAGCAATCCTCTCACCTCGTCCTCTCAAAGTGCTGGGCATTGTAGGCATGAACCACTGCACCCGGCCTCTTCTTTTTTTTGAGTCAGAGTCTTACTCTGTTGCCCAGACTGGAGTATAGTTAATTTCCAAAAGCTTATTTGTTTAATTTGAGTCTTTTGGTCTTGTTTTATCTTTTTTTCTGTTACTTTATAGGTACTTAATGGGTTTCTGAACTTGAGGTTCTTGACACAGTTTTTTTCTACACCATTCTCCAAGCAGTTAAAAATTCTTTCTTTATAATTTTTTGTCATTATCCTTTCATAACAACATCTTTATTTACAACTTCAGTATACTCTCCTGCCTTTAGAACATGTTTAGTGGTTTCTGCCTCCTTAACTTCTCTTGGAAGGCCACAGGAGATTATTTTCATGACTGTGGATTGCCAATAGCATCACAGAAGGTCAGAATTTTAAAAGGTGTCTATCAGATTTAGAAATGAGATTTTAAAAAATAAGTGAATTAATCTTGGAGGTAGCACTTTCCATGGAGTTCCTGGGGTGGTGGAGAACAAAAGATAGTTCCTTAGAAGATTGCAAAAGAGAGGTATTTGACAAAGCTGTCATAGGTGAACTTTTAAGAACTTTGTCTCAAAAGGGAAAAGAGAGGCCTGATTGCTGAAAGAATACATAGGTTGAGTGTGTGGATTGTTTTTGTATATTCTTTTTTTAATGGGAGAATTTTTAAGCATATGTAAATGCTACTGGAAAAGAACTAGTACAGTTGAGTATGGAGGCAAGGAAGAGCAAATGCCTGTTGCAGGGGAGATCCATGGAAAGCAGGAGGTATGGTGAGAGCCAGGGTACAGGAAGGGGGAAGGGCTGACTTGGCTGGAGAGAGATGTTCCTCCATTGTGGGAAGGTGAAACGAATAGACTGCCAATATGTTTATATCTGTGGTTGGAGGACATTCAAGGAGTGCTTGGCTGGATAGCTTTGTCTCTTATTTCCCTGAAATAAGAGACAAAGTCACCTACTGAGAGTGAGTTAAGTGATGGAGTAGGCAGTGCAGTAAGAGGTTTGAGTGCAGGGGAGAACTTCGGCTTAAAAGAGGTCAGACGTATGTTGTCCAAAAAAACAACGAATAATAGGTTTAAAGTGAAAAGTAAATAAGGCATCTATCCCTGATCCTCAGTCTCCTACTTTTCCTCATAGAGGCAATGACTGTTACCAGATTCTAGATAGTATCTCTAGACATATTCTGCATTTATATAAGTGCTTGGAAAACTGATAGCATACTATCCACACTGCCATCTTTTAATACAGTGTTATGTCTTGAAGATTATGATGGCAATGCTTTGATATAACTTTTGAGAAAAATGAGTGGGGAGAGGCGCCAACCTTAAAAACAGGGACTTGCCAGACAGGGCACCAGTAAGGTTGAAGATCTTGATCTTCCTCCACTGCATTACTGAGCAACAGCAGGCCCAGCATTGAGCAAGGAGGACAGATGTCTGTAGAATACACAGATAAACCAGGGGAATCATCAGAAAGCTTGTCCTGCATACCAAGAAGGGGTGGGGAAGAGGAAAGAAACCAATCTGTAAGTCAACTGATGTAACACCCTGAATAATCATATTCTCTGGAAAAGGACCATTGTTAATAACTCCAAAGAGGTTGCCTTGGGATAATCTAACTTTTTTCAAAATCACCCCTGGAAAAAGAAATTCAGATACTTGTTCGATTTGTTGAATAGAAGAGAATTCTAATAAGAATAAAAATGTGTGGGTTCCAGTAGATGTGAATAAAAGAGAGAAAAAAGATATTGTGGGAGCTGGGAATTACCTGCCTAGTTAAATGGAAAAGAAAAAGGACACTTAACAAGTCTGGGGCTGTGATAGGATTTTTTAAAATGTGTGTGTTTGTTTCTACTGTTAATTTTTCTTTTTTCTTTTTTTTTTTTTTTATAAATAATTAAAATAGCTAGCTGGTAAATTAAAATTATCTTCATGGTATAATGATTATAACTCCTGGCTATGTCAAAAAAGGATAGTGGTAGTAGCTCTCTCAAAGGGTCATTGTAAGGATTAAATTTGCCATAAAATTGTAAGCATTGGCCCAGCTTGGTGGCCCACTCGTGTAATCCCAGAATTTTGGGATACCAAAGTGAGAGGACTGCGTGAGCCCAGGAGTTTAAGACCCGTCTGGGCAACACTGCTTCCGGCCACTGCAGCCTCAACCTGCTGGGCTCCAGCGATCCTTCCACCTCAGCCTTTCGAGTAGCTGGAATTACAGGCACGCGCTACCACGCCCGGCTGATTTTTTTTATTTATTGTAGAGATGAGGTCTGGCCAAGTTGCCCTGGCAGGTCTCAAACCCGCGGGCTCAGGCAATCCACTCACTTCAGCCTCCCAAAGCGTGGGATTACATGCTGAGCCACTGAGCTCGGCTAACTATTAAATATTAACCTAGCTCTTGAAAGCAATAGGTTCTTCTCTGGGTATAGAAAGAATGCCTTTTTTCCTGTAAACTAATTGATACCAAACCAAAATCCTTTGGGGACAGAAAAAACTAGAAAGATCATCTTTCTTCTCTAGGCTATGAACTCACAGGGAGTGGAAGGTGAAAACAGGGTTAGCTCATAACCTGATACCAAAAAATTTTAAGAATATTTAATACTGCATAGGTATTTGCAAACAGGTACTGTATGTAAATACCACACCAAGAAGTTATCCTCTTCATGAAATAGAATGACTGCATTCTCAGTCTCATTCCTTTGAACCATTCTTGCCAGCTTTTCCTTCTGTAACCTGCCTCAGTTTTCTGCCTGAATATTTTTTATTCCATCCCTGTATTGGAAAGTCATTTTATAGAGCCATGTGTTCCTGTGCGTGTTGGTTTCACTTAATTATACCTTGGTTAATTTCTTCATAGTTACTTTCTTCAAATATAGGGAATAGCTAATTTTTTCATTTTCTTTTATTGCAGATTATGCATCCAGGGACAACAACGTGGAGCTCATAGTAAAGCAGATTTCTGATGAAGCCGAATCACAGTGGACAGAATCAGGAAACACTGAAAGGAGTGTTCCCCAGAGTCAAGAGTTTGCTGAAGTCACTGACCTTAAGGGCATGGTACAAAGGTGGCAGGTAAACCCCACTGTGGGGAAATCAAAGCAGAATCCTTCCCAGAAAAGAGATCTTGGCGCTACCACAGACATTAACCGTAAGCAGCAGACAAATGGTGAGAGAGGTCACAGATGTAATGATTGTGGTAAATTTTTCCTTCAAGCCTCGAACTTTATTCAGCATCGGCGCATCCATACTGGAGAAAAACCATTTAAGTGTGGCGAATGTGGAAAGAGCTACAATCAGCGTGTGCACCTCACTCAGCATCAGAGAGTCCACACCGGTGAGAAACCCTACAAATGTCAAGTGTGCGGAAAAGCTTTCCGGGTGAGCTCCCACTTGGTTCAGCACCACAGTGTCCACAGTGGGGAGAGGCCCTATGGATGTAACGAGTGTGGGAAGAACTTCGGTCGGCATTCGCATCTGATTGAACACCTGAAGCGCCACTTCAGAGAGAAATCCCAAAGATGTATGTGTGAGGAGTTCGTAATTGGGGAATAAATGGAGGCAGAAATTGTTTTATTAGCTTAGTGCAACAGGACAGGTGGGTGGTAATACTGGGAGCAGTAGGAAGGGGCAAGGATGATTTCGTTCTTATCTATACTTAAATGAGTTGTCTTGTAGGCAACTCTGTGCCCTCCAAGTTCCTCCTCACAGCTTCCCTTCCCCAGAGATATCTGCTGTCAGCTCTCACCTGTTTCTTCTTCTTCCCTTTCTTGGCTTATCAATTTTAGACATTATCTGTTGATTTTCTGTTCTAATACATGAGGGTTTGGCTCTCTTATGTGCTTTTTTCTCTTTCCCCCTTTTTTCAGTTTAGTTATTTCACTTATTTTAAAATGATAAAATAACAGTACAGGAAGTTTGGAGGAAACAGAAAGGGAGGAAAAAAAATCACCCATAATTCCATCACTCTAACTAATGGAACTATTATTATGTAGTGTGTTTCCTTCTATGCTTTTATAAGCCTATTTTACATAGTTGTACTCATAGAGTACAATAAAATATTAGACATACACAGTTTTCAGTGTTGTTCAGTCCTCCTGTTTGTTATTTTTGACAACCTACCATTGTGCAGTGATATCATAATTTATCTAACTGTTCCTTAGTTGTTGAACTTCTAATTTTTTCTCTTTTGTCCTGATAACTGTGTTTTGCTTATGACTGTTTATGCTTAGGATTATTTCCTTATAATAGTACCAGAAGTGGGATTTGTGGACAAAAGATACCAAACCGCTTTTAAAACAATTGGCCTTATATAAGAGTATTTGCTGGGCACAGTGGCTTATGCCTGTAATCCCAGCACTTTGGGAGGCCAAGGTGGGAGGATCTCTTGAGCCCAGGAGCTTGAGACCAGCCTGGACAACATAGCAAGACCTTGTCTTTACCAAAAAAAAAATAGCCAGGCATGGTGACACATGCCTGGAGTCCCAGTTACTCAGGAGGCTGAGGTGGAAGGAATTGCTTGTACCCAGGAGGTTGAGACTGACTGCTTTTTATTTTTATTTATTTATTTATTTATTTTTTTTGAGTTGGAGTCTCACTCTGTCGCCCAGACTGGAGTGCAGTGGCCGCTCCCGGCCACCACAGCCTCGACCTGCTGGGCTCCGGCGATCCTTCCACTTCAGCCTTCCGAGTAACCGGAATTACAGGCATGCGCTACCACGCCCAGCTGATTTTTTGGTTTATTGTAGAGATGCGGTCTTGCTGCCCAGGTGGGTCTCGAACCCGCAGGCTCAGGCAATCTGCTCACCTCAGCCTCCCAAAGGCACAGGATTACAGGCTGAGCCACTGAGCCCGGCTCTATTTTTATTTTTAATAAGCTATGTGAGTTAAGTGGCAGTGAGCCATGCTCTTGCCATTGCACTCCAGCCTGGGTGACAGAGTGAGACCCTGACTGGAAAAAAAAAAAAAAAAGGAGTATCTGTTTTACTGAATTTTTGCCAGAATTATTAAAAAAAATTTTTAAACAAAATTGAGTAAGCAGAAGAGAGTTCCTTGTATTCATTCTCATTAATTTGGTTATAAATAAGGTTCAGTGATTTTCCTTTTTGCTTATGCATTTTAAAGATCTATTTAGGTGACATTAAACTTATATATGGATGAGATCATTATAAACTGTGCTATCGATTTAAAGGCTCTTTCTAATACTCTTCAGACAACTTTAAGACTGGCCAAAGTATTTTTTTTTTTAATTCTGCCTTTGGTATCCTCAGGCCTAGCACTTGTGATTCACATTAATTAATAGCCATGCTCTGTCTTCTTTTATGGTATAGAAGTTATGAAGCTCATTGTGTCTTAAAAGTTCTGGGTTGAGCTGCGCTATCTGCTCAGCCAGTGTTACCCTTTCTGCTTGGTATATGCCTCTTTTGGGAAATCCATCTGGACTTGAAAAGCAGCTGCTCTAAAATAGTATCTTTTCTGTCTTCCCTGCAGTTGCTCCCATGGCTAGTTTCTTAATTCTCACCTGCCTCCCTTATTTTATTTTGGATCAAAGGAGTAACACTTTATCTGCTCATCCAGCCATATTTATTGAGAGTCTCTAGTGCTATGTACTAGGGATCTGCAGTGGACAGACAGCGATACAGTCCATGCCCTCGTGGGGATGATGATCTGGTGAGAATAGCAGATAGTAAAGGTGATAAGCATTCTGAAAAGAGATGCAGGAAGTACTGTGGGAGGGAAACTGAGGCTAGAGTGTCAGCTAAGGATGAAGAGGGCAGAGATTGCTGTATCAACTGTCCTCTTGACAGTGATTCTTGATGGCTCACTTCTCTTATTTTTCTGGCTCCTAGTCAGATATTTTCCCAACTCTATATCCCCTTTATAATCCTCTGTTCCCATTCTTCCCGTTTTTATCATTTCTTACCATCCAATTGTGTGTTTTCATATTGGAGCAATGAGCCCTTCCACATCTCCTATTTCCCTCCCACTTTAGAATCCTTTTCTCTCCTTGCTATATAATAAAATGTTTTACTTATCCCTATTATTGCCTAGCCTCAGTCATTCTCACCACCCTTCTAAGTAAGCCTCTTTTTTGTCTTGTTCTTTTCACTGGATAAAGACCAAAAGTTTGTCCTTCTGATTCCTGTTGGCATCCAGTACATACAAGCGTCCCCTTCTGTTATCTATTTCATCATAGTTTTACCTGATTATCCTTTTTCCTGACAGTTTATTTTTCTTCTTTAAAAGAACTGATGACATTCACTTTTACTCTTTATTTCTTTAGGCAGTGACAAAAGAAGTAAGAATACAAAATTGAGTGTTAAAAAGAAAATTTCAGAATTTTCAGAAGCAGATGTGGAACTATCTGGAAAAATCCAAAGAAATGTTTCTCAAGTTCAAGATTTTGGAGAAGGCTGTGAACACCAAGGCAAGGTTGATAGAAAGCAGGGAATTCCCATGAAAGAGATATTAGGACAACCCTCATCAAAGAGGATGAATTGCAATGAAGTCACCTATGTCCACAAAAAGGCGTCCACAGGAGAGAGACCACATAAATGTAATGAATGTGGGAAAAGCTTTATTCAGAGTGCACATCTTATTCAACATCAAAGAATACACACTGGGGAGAAACCATTTAGGTGTGATGAATGTGGAAAAAGCTACAACCAACGTGTGCACCTAACTCAGCATCAGCGAGTCCACACTGGTGAAAAACCCTACACCTGTCCTCTATGTGGGAAAGCATTCAGAGTGAGGTCCCATCTTGTTCAGCATCAGAGTGTGCACAGTGGAGAGAGACCCTTTAAGTGTAACGAATGTGGGAAAGGCTTTGGGAGGCGTTCACACCTTGCTGGACATTTGCGACTCCACTCTAGAGAGAAATCCCATCAGTGTCGTGAATGTGGAGAAATCTTTTTTCAATACATTAGCCTAATCGAACATCAAGTGCTCCACATGGGTCAGAAAAATGAAAAAAATGGTATTTGTGAGGAAGCGTATAGTTGGAACTTGACAGTGATTGAAGATAAGAAGATTGAGTTACAAGAGCAGCCTTATAAGTGTGATATATGTGGAAAAGCCTTTAGTTATAGTTCAGACCTTATTCAGCATTACAGAACTCATACTGCAGAGAAAACCTATAAGTGTGATATATGTCGAGAAAATGTTGGCCAGTGTTCCCACAAACAGCATCAAAAAAACTATTCCAGCACAAAATCCCATCAATGTAATGAATGTGGAAGAGGCTTCACTCTGAAATCACATCTTAATCAACATCAGAGAATCCATACTGGTGAGAAACCTTTTCAATGCAAAGAATGTGGAATGAGTTTCAGTTGGAGTTGTAGCCTCTTTAAACATTTGAGAAGCCATGAGAGGACAGATCCCACAAATACTTTAAGTGTATAGGTGGTTCTATTATAGAACAGCTCATACTCAATTTTAGAGGCACCTTCTTGAAGAAAAACTTTACTCCTATAATGAATATAACAACAACTTCAAGTATTTTTCCAACATAGCCATCAAACCTACAGATAGGTTGAAATCCTTCAGTTAGAACTCAGCCTTTAGGAATACTGGAGAATCCACAATACTAGATACCTATTCACTTTCCCCATTAAGAAATGCTTTAGTTAGCATCTTCATGTTTGGAATCTAAATAAAAAGAGAACCTATGGACATGTGGAGAAGGAAAGCCTTCCGATGATGCTTATTCTTCACCTGAAACTCGGAAAACTGACACTAAGAAAAGCCTCATGAATACAGTAGAAATAAGCTTTATTGTAGTTTCTGCCTTGACAGCCTATCTATTCAGGGAAGAGCACAGTGAGAGAAAGAATTCTTCAGCATGATATCCGTTTTGGTACCTCAGCAATGAACCTTTTCTAGAAATGATTATCCCAACCACTAAATACTCCAGTCATTGTTCCTATTTTGAGTATTAACTCCTTTGAAAAGAAATGGACTTAAGGTATCTATATTTTGGCGTAATTGGGGTTCAGAGGCTGGATGGTATGTGTTACTGCTGCCTTATTTAATCTACAACTTCTCCATGAAACACTCTACCTTTTTCCTTTTTGAAAAGCACCAAGGTTAGCTAGTAAAAGGAGGAGTTAAATTTGTAAATTCAGGAGAAACTGTGCTGGTCAGTCACATCTTAAGTTGAAAGGAAAGGGACATTATGGTAACAGAGAAGACAGGCAAAACTGTGGACTGGTTTATCTTATTACCCACAAGAATGAGGGTAGCTAAATCCATAGAAGGAATTGGACCAGGTTTAATTACAAATCTTGGTCCCAGCTGTATTTATCAATTCCCAGGTGCCTGGGAATGGGCTGCCCCTAGAGGGTGGCGGCAGACAATGAGTTTGCATTGCAGCTGGAATTGAAAGTAAACAGTAGTGAGAAGCAGGCAGGTACATGGTCCAGTTAGCCCTGTCCTGTGGGAAGGTCTGGGGTGGGGGCATGGGAAGGTTTAAAGGGTAAAGAAGGTGACACGCATTAGAGGATTCACTTGAGCCTGTTTGCTAGAGAGAGGAGGAGTGCTTCTGGGCACTGCTGAGGCCCTGATTCTGCTGATTTGCCTGGCTTTCAATAAATGCCCAATAAATACCTGCTGATTGTGTGTGTTGTATACTTTCGTGCCTTGTGAAGACCCCTTTACCAAACTGGCACATCCATCCTCAGGTGCTGTGAGTTGTGGCTGCTAAGTGCTCACAGTTCTTCTGCTTTTCCAGGAACTGGAGAATTGCCCTCAGAAGATGAGAGCTGCCTCACCCAAGAGTTATCTCCCCTTCACACCCCCCAGCCAGTGACTGATATGTGGTACAAAAGGCTGGTTCACCTGCTTCAAGGGAGAAAACTCTGGTGCAGTTAATGCTCCAGAACCCATGGGTCAGGCCAGGGGTAGACTTTTTCTGAGCCGACATCTGTGCATGGCTTTCTCTTTTTCTCTATCCTGTTTCATTTCATGAATAAGCCACACCCTCAACAAATCACGAGGCTCTGGAAACCTGTCTCAGGCTCTGTTCTAGAGAACCTGATCTGGGACATTTGGTGCCATGAGTGGTCCTAGGAAGCTGACTGTAAGAGGATTGTGGAGTTGGTTACTCATCGTGAGACAATAAGGATCCCATCACTGATGGTGGATGGAGGCTTGATAGTCCCTGGCATGTGGTACCTGCCCAGTCACTGAGACATTCACTTGTGATGAATCAGGATGTGATAGAGGTGGAAAGGGATGTACTGGCTTGTGTAAGGTTTGGGACAAACAGTAAACTAATATAATTATGGAATTGAGTGGCTTTTACTGAAAGTCACTGACTTCTCAATGAGAGAAAATAACAAGGCAAATAATCCCCAATTTAATGCCAAGTGAGTGTTAGAGGTCTTCCTTGATAGCATTTAAAGAGACCCTCATTTCCTGCAAACAACTGCAGAACTGAAGTTGAGGAATAAGACTTAATTGAGAATGGTGGAATTTCAAAGCCTGAAGTCCCAGCCATGGCAAGTCCAGCCAAGTCGGGGCTCTGGTTGGGGAAGAAATGGAAGGGGTGGGACTGTGTGGGTAGCTGAACTTGAGTACTTTAAACCGCTAGGTTCCCTTGAACAATAATAGCCTTGCAAAAGTGGCCTGTCTTGTTGGAAAATAGAACTTTCCCCTTGCTTGAAACAATGAAGATGCCGCAAATGAGGCAGGTGATGATGCCCAACACAGTGCTGACTCTCAGAATCTGCTCCCACCTCCCTCCCTGTCTACCAGCCGCATGAAGAGGATCAAGTGTCACCAAGACCTGACAGTGTCAGTGCTGAGTCTTCTAAGGGAGGGCAGGGACTCAGCACCTAAGGAGTTGCAGGGCCTGCTGGTATGTGCCAGGGGGAACTGGTAGACAGTGCCTGATGGTGGATCTGAGGGTGCTGACTAGAGAGGGTCGAATTTAAAGTTGGGAAAGTTTGACGACATGAGAGTACTCTTCATGTGGCAGAATTTAACACCATGGCAAGAGGGAGATGATTCTAGGACACTGCTGAGATGATTCTTGAAAGAAAAGGCAGTGGCCCACTTTAAATGAAGTAGAAATGCCAAAACTTCCATGGATGACTGAACGAAGTAATCAAAAGGCTCATACATAGACAAATTAGGATGGAACTATTATGTAAGACCAAACCAGCCACAGGCTGTGTTCCTTAGGATGGTCTGGAGAGCATTCTGCTTACCATTATAGGGAATGCCCTGGTTGGGAGGCCATTAGCATCATTGAGAAGCTTGGTAGTGGCTGTCCTCATTTGCAGAGGCTCGTAGAAAGATGCTTTTACATAACTGGGTTCCCTAATAGCAAAGGGGATGATAGACCCTGGGTTAGCAAAAGCCATGTAGCAGAACTTAACTGTCAGAAGCAGGGTTGGGATAATTGCTCTGATGGGGTGGAAGGCCTGCCTGGGCAGAAGGGAGGCTGGCCTGCAGGGTTATATGGAGATGGCTAACAAAACAAGAGCATTGCTTAATGTAGATAATCAGAAGTGATAATGGATGAACAGAAGTCTGGAGCCAACCACCCCAGTGAAAAACCTTGCCCGGTTTGCAGATGTAAGCCAATTTTCAAACTCCTGACCTCAAGCAATTCTCCTGCCTTGGCCTCCCAATGTGCTAGGGTTACATATGTGAGCCAACAAGCCAGTTTTCATGCCTAAAACCCACTGATTGAAGATGAGTCTAATTCCCTCAGGGAAGGATCCTGCAACACCATGGCAAGTATATATAAGGTGGTTCCTTTGTTTCTAAAGAGTCCCATGGTTGTTTACTGAGGTAAACATACACTAGAAAAAGGGGATCTATCTAAAGCTCCATCATTCACCCTTAAAGAAGGACATGTATATAGTCCAGATCTATCTCACTTTGGATCCACTGGGTGCATGAACCCACTTGGTGGTCATTGCCCTGGTTCCCCAGCATGAAATTGGAATGCACATATTGGCAGAACCTCACCAAGCTTCCTTCACCTGTAGAATAAGAGCTTAAGCAAACTAATCAGCAAGTAGGATTTTATTTGCTCCCTTTCCATCCTGAAAGGAACAGAAAATCATCCTGATTGGGGCACCCTCTCACTCTGTAAGGGTTTCCTTTTTCTGTCCATGAGTCCCTGGCCAATATCATTGAGGGCTCACAGAACATCTGGTTCTCTGTCATTGGTTATCATATAACATCACCTCAGACCATCTGCATTACAACAATGGGTGCAGCAGCAGTCACATGACCATGGGGATCCTTGGTCCTAAATATTCCACATATACAGAAGATTCTAACCTGATATGATGTAGAATGGCCCCTAAAGTTGTAGCTGAGGTACCAGATTGAAGATGACACCCTGGGGCAGTGACGTATGATCCTTTAGGATGTCATACACTCTCTAAACCAACAGCCATTATAAGGTGCTGTCTTTAACAAGTAGAGAAATGTGTCTGGGAACCAAGGGATGGGAGGTAGGAGTGACCCTGTTCACTGTCATTCCTAGGGACCCACACAGGGAATTTGTGTTTTTCATCCCTGAATCTTTAGGCTCTGTGGGTCAGAGGTCCTGGTATCCAGAGGAACCCATCCACATCAAGAGTCCTGATGAACTTAAAGCTACCACTGCTGTGTGGTCACTTTGGGCTCCTTGTGTCATTAGGCCAAGTACAGAAAGGAGATACCATAGTGCTACTGCTACTATGTGACAGAGACAGAGAGAAGTACGTTGGGGCTCAGCTTGGTCCACTGGGGTATCTTTTGTATTCCCTTGCCTAGTATTAACTTTAAGTGACCATAGCCTATTAAGAGCCTGGTGAAGGGAGGCTCGGACCTCTCAGTGATGAGGGTCTGGGTCACCATACCAGCTGAGCCACTAAGACCAGCAGAAGCACTAGCTGAGGGTGAGGGAAAAGGGCGATACAGTGCCCTGATCTGAGTATCAGTTACAGCCCCCAGACCCTACAATTCTTCCCACTAACCCTGTGTGCTTATAAACCACCCATATATCATCACCACTGAATCCTGGAGAAGATTTACCTGGATGGAGTGTACTTAAGTATGTGTGTCTGGTAGGTTGAAGGAATGACTGATAGATGCTGTGATTCCCTTCCCTGGTCCCTGCACCTACCTGTCAGCTGCTGAGGTTGATAGCTTATAGCTACTTTGTTTTCCTCAGTTGATAAGAGCTGCCTGACCCAGGACTGTGTCCTGTTTCCTCAGGGTAGCCCAGAACAATCTCTGTGCCTGAGATACAAAAGACCCCTTGGCCTCAGGGGATGGCTGTCTATGGTGCAGTTTATGCTCCAGAGCCTTTTCCTTGTAAACTTTAGCAGAGGTAATGCCCCTTCCTTGTGAACTTGACTTGAGACCATGCCCCTTTCTTGTAATCCTTACCTGAGGCCACGCCTCTTGTGAATTTGAGACTATGCCCCTTTCTTGTAAACTTTACATGAAGCCACATCCCTTCCTTGTGAAACTTACCTGAGGCCACACCCCTTCCTTGTGAACTTTACCTGAAGCATGCCTCTTCCTTGTGAACCTTACCGGAGACCTTTTCCCTATTCTACATTACTCCCTTAGCTGAGGTCTGTCCCTAAGGACACTCAGTAAATCTCATCTCCCCAAATCCCTATCTCAAGTTCTGCTTCTGAGGAAGTGGAAGGAACCTGACAGTATGAGTAGGCGCTTAGAAGGACACACCAGAAACCAAGGGCTTCTCCCATTTCCAGCAAATGGAAATAGGGATTATTTGGGCCAAACTCATGCTGAAAACAACTACAAGTGCTGCATAAATTAAAAAAAAAAAAACAACACTTTGAATAGCAGAATGGTAGAAGAATAACTAGAGCCCAATCTAAAGGAAAGGAAATCCCAAAGAAGCAAGTAGAACACAACCTGCTTTCACCCAGAGGACATTTGCACATGGGGGTGAACATGAGGTTTGACAGTCATGTAAGATAAGGGACAAGGGGAACCAAAGCCCACAGCCTGTCTAAGGTTAACAGAGAGGTTAACAGAGACTCTCTGTTAAACTGGGGCCACAAGGGCTACACTGAGAGTAACTAGAAGAAAACACTGCACCCACATTCTTAGATAACTGTTCCAGGGATGGGAGAAACTGTCTCAGGACAAAGAAGAGAGGAAAAGATCCTCAGCTATCTGTGTCTGGAAAATGTAGCACAGATATATTACTTATGTGACAAGATTTGAATTTGCCTTTTACCTTTAATGACAACTCTGTTGACTTACAAGGAGAGTATGAGGAGAAAAAAAGGGGAATCTCTTAAATTACTTTCTGCCAGTTCAGGTCCCCAACCATGTATTTTGACTATTCAACAGTGAACATTCTTGTAAATCACCCACCTCAAATAAGAAATTCTAATTTCCAAAAGATAGTAGAGAAACTTTGTACACATAATTTCTCTTAACTGGAGAAAAAAAAATCACAAGATTCAAATGGATACTGCAATTCTTATATTTCCAATTTGGAAGGGATAGAAAAAAATACACTGAAGAGCATCCTTGAAAAAGAATGAAATCGTGTCCTTTGCAGCAACATGGATGGAGCTGGAGGTCATTATCCTAAGAAAACTGACTAAAAAACAAAACA